TAAAATTTAATAACAATTTCATGTATAGAAATAGTATAATACAAAACTACGCCTATCACAGAACAACTGTCATTTTTGTTTAATTTAATACATCAGCTTCAGATGGCACCATTCATTTGTAATGATTAAGATTGTACTGACTCAGAACTTCAAAACTATATAATAAGAAAGAAATTGTACTTGAGCATTATTGAAAAAATATAGTATACCCTGAAATGTAGTGATACAGCCAGGTGAATATTATGAATTATTATGTAGCGGGCCGGTAGGATTACTCCTTATTATACTGACAATGGACATATCTCAGAGATATATTTTTACAAACCGTCATACCTTGTACAAAAGTCGGTTGACATGCTATTACATCTAACTGCTGGTAAGTTAATATGTGCAGACAACCATGGGCAGATTTACTGGGGGGTTAGTACTGAGTATAACACCTTGAGGTGTTATAAAGTGTTCGACCCAACCCAAATTTCACTTCACCCCTCCTACTTTGTGTGAAAGCCTTTAACCCTAACCCCTGCCAAAGCTCAGTGGTGCTGCTTGCACCCCACTAGAAAATGTTTGGCCACCCCTCCTTTTATAAAATGAAAATCTGCCCTTGCAGACAACAATCCACACTGGATTGTTATAGGGATATCTTTATATTAAATAAGCCCTGCCACACAACATTCCACGTTTGTTTTTAAAACGTGCTGAAATGGCTGAAGCACATTGCTATAAACATGTAGAATAAACACTATAAACTCATCGCCTTTGGAAATAACCACACAAACAAATAAACTAAAAACAGATTTTGACTACTTGTATATTTAACTATAAAGACGATCAGTGACAGTGCAGCCGCAGGGTAAATTCTGAAATTCATGCTGAATCTAAATTCATGAAATATCACAGTGTTCTAAATATACTGTAAATGCCTTCATGTATATTACCAAAAAGAAATAAAGCTATCCTTACCTGAATTATTGAAAATATTGTCCATGTTTTGCATCATGAAAATGTAAATATTGGCTCGTAACTGTCCTTGAGAAGAACTTGCTCCGTGTGCAATACAAAATAAAGTTTGACCGCCCCCCTCGTTTAAAAAAACTTCCTGAAGCCTTAATTATTTCCCCGGAATTACGACATCTTTACATACATACATACATACATACATACAGACAGACAGACAGACAGACAGACAGACAGACAGACAGACAGACAGACAGACAGACAGACAGACAGACAGACAGACAGACAGACACAAAATCGAGATCTCGACAATACATAGCTCGGGCAAAGAGACTGGACACAAGTAAACGCGATACTTCATGTTAAGAATAGTGTGCTGCCTTCGGCAGCAAAAAGTTACGGTCTATACACTTACAAGTCTCCAAAATCGCAATATTTACCACAACAAAATGGCGCCAAAAGTCCGTCCGATAAATTGTGCGCCGCAAAAATGTTCGAAAGTTAAACGTATAGATTACGCTGTTCACAACACTCCCGGGGTTGATCATCTATAAATGATCAAAGATATAAAGAAATTAAACTCAACTAAATAGTATATCGTTGGTATAACTCAGCTCTAAAACGGTCTGCAGCTATCGCTGCTTTTCTTCTTGGTCTTGCACTTTCCGTTTCTTCTTCTTCAACGCTGTTAACTGGGGGTTGATTGCATTCGGGTTCTGGTAACTGCGCTTTGACTTCAAGTGGGATGAGATGCTGTATCGGTCTTCGCAGAATTACTTGCTTTCCACCGTCTCCTTGAACCTTTACTCTTGCCGCTCGTATAATTCCATCCTTGCTTGGAATGAGTTCTTCCACCTTTCCGAACTTCCAAAATACACGTTTGGTACTGTCATTTCTGAGGATAACAATATCAGCAATCTTAATCTTAATCGTTTCTTTTGACGGTTTCGCGGATAATTTCGCCGACTCTCGAAGACTGAGTAAATCTTCCTTTCTCCACTGTTTAGTGAACTGATCAAGCATTCGCTGCTGGTGCTTCGCTCTTTTCGTTAGAGTTTTGATTGTGCTGACTACTTCGTAATGTCGGTGATTCAAATGAGACGAAATTTGACGTCCATAAATGAGATGTGACGGTGTGAGAGCATACGATACTCCTTCTTCGTCATCGTAGATGAATGTTAATGAACTTAATAGACGATTGTTGATGGTAGTTTCAATTTCAACGAGCAGGGTTCTGAGCTCTCCGAATGTTACAGAACCAGTTCCGATTGACTTTTTCAAACGTTTTACACAGCTGCGTACCATTCTCTCGTAAAACCCGCCGTGCCAAGGAGCTTTCTCGATTATATACTTCCACACGACGACTCTGTTGACAAAATATCTTTCGGTTTCCTTCGATGTGTATATACTCGTTATTTCTCGTGAAGCTGCTTTAAAGGTCTTGGCGTTATCTGTAAATATCGTACTTGGTAAACCTCTCCGACTCGTAAATCTTCTGAATGCTTGAAAGAATGTTGGGACCGACAGATTCTCGACAAGTTCTAAATGAACTGCTCTCGTTGATGCACAAGTGAAAAGAGCAATATAGACCTTTTCGGAATCCTTGCTACCGGATTGACTCTGTAATTTCACGTACAGTGGACCGGCAAAGTCAATTCCCGTGTTCGTAAATGGTGGTTCTTCACTTACACGCTCAGGTGGCAATTGTGGAATCTTAGGGGTTGCAAAGGGTTTGCCTTCCATTCGTTTGCACACGACACACTTCTTGAGCACTCTTTTAACTGATTCTCGAGCACGTAATATCCAATAATCTTCTCGAATGCAATTCACGGTTTCTCGGATCCCATCGTGATGCACTGTCCTGTGCCTCTCGCAAATTAGTAGGTCGGTATACCAGTGTCTCGATGGTAAAAGAATAGGTTGCTTTGTTACATCTTCATGAGATGAGTGCTGGATTCGTCCTTCGCATCTTATGATTCCATGCTCATCCAAATACAACGATAATTGAGTCACGATCTGTTTCGGTGATTTTTTCGATCCCTTTAGATATTGTAACTCGTCTGGGAACGTCTGTTCTTGAATAGCTTTAATCCACATTCTTTCGGCTTGCTTCAACTCATCTGCCGTTAATTCTGTGTTTTTTGGCACGCGATCATCATGTCTCCAGATCTTTGCGCATCTTTGGACAGTTGCTGACACTCGCAGTAACCGTAATTTCGTACTGTATCTCTTGCAATCTATGATCTCGTCAATTCTTTCTAAAATCTCGCCACGTTGTGATAAGTTCACAAGAGATCGAACAACTGCAGGTGGTGTCTTCCTCATTTCTGAGAGAGCAACTTCTTCGTTATCTATACCATTCGTCAGTGGTTGTTCAGGCCAACTCTCCTCGGAATGTTTCAAAAACTCTGGTCCGCTCCACCAGGTTTGATTCTTTGAAAGTTCTTTTGCATTGCAACCTCGCGAGGGCAAGTCCGCAGGATTTAGTTCTCCTTGCACAAATCTCCAATGGGTTGGATCAGAATGTTCTCGTATTTCCTCGACTCTATGCTGTACATATGGTTTCCAAACCTTGTTGTTTCGAATCCAACAAAGGGTTGTAAGCGAGTCTGTCCAATAATACACTTCGGGTGGTATCTTCAAAGACACAAGAGATTTCTGGATAGTTTTCACAAGTCTAGCCAAAATGGTGGCTCCGAGTAATTCTAAGCGAGGGATAGATTGTCGTTTTATGGGTGCCACACGAGCCTTGGATGCAACTAGGTTCACCTCAATGTCTCCATTCGCATGTTCCGTACGCAAGTAGACTATCCACGCATATGCCTTGCACGATGCATCACTGAAACCATGTAGCTGATGACCAACTGGATCGCCTTCCCTCCAAGAGAAATAACATCTAGGAACTCGAATATTCTTCAATGCGTTCATATCTGCTATCAGTCGATTCCACCACGATAACAACTCTGGCGTCAATTCATCATCCCAATCGTAGTCGGACGAACACAACACTTGAAACAGTACCTTCGTATGGATAGTAAGGGGTGTTATCAAACCGATAGGGTCGAAAATCTTCGCAGACAACTTAAGAACTGATCTTTTCGTAGGGGGCAACGTTTCGGCATACTTCACCAGATCTGAATGCTCTTGATGTAAAGTATCTGTTTTAACGTTCCAGCTCACTCCCAATACCTTAACTGAATTGACTGGTGATTCAAGGTTTTCCTCCGGTTCATGCTTACTCCCGGGGGTAGCAGATTTTACTACGTCACCAGGTTTACCTGACACCGTCTCTGAATTCACAACATTCTCTGGATTATTGTTAACGGTGACGTTGATTTTCGCGCGTAAGGCCTCCAAATTGGTATACCACTTCCTAAGGCGAAATCCTCCCCGATTCATTAACTCAGATGACTGTTCGTAAATTCGATTTGCTTCCTCATCAGTTGATGCACCAGTTGCTAAATCGTCCACGTAAAATGACTCTTGAAGCAAGGATACGACTTCAGGAGCTTGATATTGTTGTTTATTAAAGTGATGCTGCAATACCGAGGATAGGATGGCTGGACTTGAAGTAAGACCAAAGGGCAAACGGCAAAATTGGTACTTCACGATCTCTGGATTAGCTTTGTTCACATCATCAAACCCCAAAAATCGCATCATCCGTCGATCTTCAGGTGCAATTAGGACTTGATGAAAAGCCTTTTCGACATCGGCGATCATAGCAATGGGATATCCTCGGAATTTAACAACAACATCAAACAGATGTGGTACCAGATTAGGCCCTGTTTCTAAACATTCGTTGATCGATAAATTAGTGTTATCTGGCTTGGCGGACCCATCAAATACAACTCGTAATTTCGTTGTTTCCTTATCGCTTCGAATTACTCCGTGGTGGGGAAGGTAGTATGTCACTTCATCTGGCTCGTTTTGATCAAGAACACGCTCCACAATTCCGTCCTTCGTTTGCTGCTGGATTACCTTGTTGTACTCACAGAGAAGTTCTTCATTTCCCTTCAGTTTCCTATGAAGCTGTCGTAAACGATTAACACATGATATATATATATATATACATTAGACCTTGGTATCTGTCCAGACTTCCACAGTAAATTCACTTCATAACGGTTTTCCGAATCGTAACGTATTTCTCGTAGAAATTCTTTGTTCGCTATCAAACTGTCGTCGTTCTGTATACCTATCGATTCAACTTCCCAGAATTTGCCCAATTGATATGTTAGAGCCTTGCTTTTATCTTCATGATAGGGGTTGTTCATTAACCAAGGGTTTTCCTTAGCAATAATGAGGTGAGTCATCGAAGGGTTTTTACTGCTACTAGTAACCCCGTCGGCAGGCCCCGAAAGCACCTATCCAAACTTCGTGTCGAACGCAATCGGTCCTTCGTTTCCGCGTCGAACCTCGTCCTTGACAATATTATAGTAATGGTCGGCACCAATCGAAATGTCAATCTCGGACGAAGAATCTGTGACGAGACTTGCATCAGCTATTTCTAAGCCATCCAAATGTGGATAGGATTCAACATCTAATTTCAATGGCAAGGGTGCACATATTTTAGGAAAACTGAGTGCATTTATTTTGATCGTTTCTGAAAAGAGTTTTCAATTTCACCTCAACTTCATCACATCGTCGTGTTCGAATTTTCTCGTCGCCGAATGTATTTAATTTCGTATGGGATTTAAGTTTAGTCTCTCCTTAAGGTGGCTGGTGATATATGATCGTTGACTACCAGAGTCCAATAATACTCGTACTGGAATGGAATCTCTACCATCTTGGCTAAATGCTACAGTAGTGGCTGTTTGCAAAAGAATTCGTCTTGTCTGGTTATTTCTGGGGGAGTTACGGTTTACCATTGTCACTTCGTGATCCCTTTTACCTTTCTGGCCTGATTGCTTTGTTGGCTCGTTCTTTTTCGGATCTTGTTTTACATACGATGTTTCGGGAGGATCTATGGGTGGATCTCGTTCGGTACAAATGGATTGATGGTGACCACCGTGGCATTTTCTACATTTTTTGGAAGGATCACACTTCCTTGCTCGATGTCCTCGTCCCAGGCAACGGAAACAGAGACCATCTCGTTTGAGGATATTCTTTCTGGTGTCGATGTCACGGAATTGTTCACATGAAGCTGAATAATGAGATTTGCGTCAATAGGCACATTGTATACCTTGTCCCTTTGGATCGGACCACCCTGCGAGTAATGATGCAGCAGTGGGTATATTTCGTCGACTGTGGTCACTAGAACCCCTTTTCAACTTCAGATCATTTTCTTTCACATTTTCACACACTTCTCGTGCTTCCACTTCTTGTTTTATCAATTTTAAAAGATCTTCAATTTTCCAAACTTCATTTGATGAATTACGGGCAATTTGCATGCGAACGTCTTCAGGGAGTTTTGACATAATCACAGGAATGAGAAGACTACAGTACTGTTCGGTCTTTACCCCTAAAGACTCTAAGCCCCTGACATTCACACTGACTTGGTCATATATCAGTCTCAGTTGACTTGAATCTCTACCATTACAGGTGGGCAGTTTCAACAGTTTGTCCATGTGCGCTGAAATTACTTGCTGGGTTTTTCCAAAACGTTCATTGAGAATGTCTACTGCTGATTTGTAATTTTCAGCATTTATAGTTAGACCCTGAATAGCACGGAGACCAGGGCCCTCCAGCAAGGAATACAGGTAGTTGAATTTGTCGATTTCAGTGAGGTCTGGATTATTGTGCACGGCACTCTGAAAACATTCCCAAAACCCATGAAATTTTTTTATTTCGCTCCCAAATTTTGGTGAAGTTAATTTGGGTAGCCTTGGTCGGGTTGAAGAACTTGACGGTGGGATAGCATGCACTGCCTGGTTTGAAACTTCGTTGATTTGTTCAGGAGTCATGTCCAATAAGGTCCCCTGTGACTGTGCATTCGATAAATTTTCTGGGGGGGGACAAATCAACTGGAATAAGGGGGGTAGGTAATTGTCAGAATAACTTCGATTTTTCGTCAGAATAACTTCGATTTTCTTCCTTATATCGTACACCTTGGACGTAATCTTTTCTGCTTCTTCTAGATCTTGAGTAATGCTTTCTACTGAACACGCTTCGAGTATTTCTTCGTCGAGTTTTCTTACAAATTTCAGCTTTTCGTCAAGTAATCTATCGAGTGTTGTCAAACGTTCAATACATCCATTTTCGTCGATTTTACTGAAAAGTTCAGTCGCTTCCTTCACATGTTTCGTTATAACTCCACGGTTTGCTGATCGAATCGCTCGTTTTCGTTCAAATCCTTCAGTCATGGCTTCGGGTTAACGTCAAAATTCGTTATTCGCAATAATTCTCGTCGAGTTTGTCCATCAAAATATATCGCCAAAATTCGCTTAGTTTAATCGTTCTATTCGCATTCAATCGATCCTTCACAATCTAACGAGACTTGTAACGCCCCACGTTGGGCGCCATGAACTATATTTTTAAGTATTTATTTTATATAAAAGTTACGGTCTATACACTTACAAGTCTCCAAAATCGCAATAAAACTGGAACAACAACAAAAAATGGCGCCAAAAGTCAGTCCGATAAATTGTGCGCCGCAAAAATGTTCGAAAGTTAAACGTATAAATTACGCTGTTCACAACACGTACGCTTTCTAGGTACATATGTACGTGCGCTTGTTCTGTGAGAACACAGCTGCTCTGCACATTGTTCACACAGTTTTCATGGAGAGAACTTTGTTGAAATTATTGTAGTTAAGAGTTGAACGGTGAATTGTTTACATTGAGAACCTGCTTCTTGTTTGACAACAAAAAATGGTTCGTTTTGGTTCTATGGTCTAAATCCAAGTTGTAATTTCTTTTGCTCGGAAGACGCTGGTTACCTGTCTGAAAAAGCTATAGCTGCTTGGAGATGTACAAATCAGCCATAGCCACAATGTGATGGGCATCATAAGCTTGCAATCAAGATATGATGAAAAAGAGCTACGGAAGACCGTTTTCCGTGTGCTCTGACAAAAAGAATCCAGGTTCCTTTTGGGTGTAGGGTGATGTGTAGCCAGCAACGAGACCGACTTGGCATCGTGGGTTTTTGTGTGCATTCCCAAAGATGAAAAAGGAAGGCATCAACAAGGATCGTATGTTTTTTGCTGTCCAAATGATAAGGAAAACTCGTGTCGGTTTTTTGAATGGACGCCTGACGAACCAGACTTTGGGTCTTGTTATAATGTGAACTTTAGCAATCCACCATTAAATAACTATGGTTGGAACAAAGACATCTATTTGACATCTGAATTTATTTATTCATGGTTTTGGAAACAAGTTACCAAACCTGTAAATTAGGGACCGGTCATAAAGTATTTACTAGGGGGTGTGGACGATATTTATGGGGGGTACGAAAATATTTATTGTATTTTTATGATTTATGACAAAACTACGCAAATATTTATTGTTTTTATCATAAATCATAAAAATACAAATAATACAATATATTTAGTTATGTTTCTGTGGTGGCGAACAAACGTTCCATGAAAATATCCACCCCCCTGTCATGTGTCCACGAGAACTTTTCGCGAACATTGCGCGTGACTTTCAAATGATTTGTTTTTTATTTTAAACCTAAATGGTATACGGGAGGGTTTTTCCTTCCAAATGGGACAAATATTGTCAATTTTTCGATTGGGACTATTCTACAATGAAGTACTCTTGGATACTGTAATCTAAATACATACGAAAACGAAGAAGTGGCATTTATCGGACAGAGAAGCGGCGAGCCACTAAAATGGCGGAAATTTGACGAAATATCGAAGGACACAATATCGAAGGTAAAATACACTGCACTGTCTCACAACTTGATGAAACTTGGTTGAAATATTCTTTAGCCCTTTATGATTATGTAAAAGTACAACAACTGGATGATATTTGCGAGGCTCGGAGATAAAAAGCAAACAAGACGGCAGAATATGGCTGAAATCGTGTTTTCGTGGGGGGTAAGTGAAATAAAATGTATTATATTAAAAGAAAACAATGACAATCCTTATGAAATCCACAATAATTATATTGAACTAAGCATAGTTTTTCATCCCATGATAATTTTTTTTAGGAAATAAGAATATTTAATTTCTGCCAGGCATATTAGTTATTTTGTGCATAATCAGCAATTTACTTGGGGTGGTGCATAGTTATTTTCTGGTAAAATGTTATACTTAGACAAATTTTTCCTTCCAATGACCACCCCTAAAAGCAACGCTTCTGAACACTATAAGCACTTCAGAAAGACTATCGCTTTTCCTTTTCGGAAGTTAGAGCTATGTCGACATGGCCGTTTCAGGGCGGGGTCATTTTCAGGACTTTCGTCCCGGATTCAGGTTTTCGCACATATGCCATGTTGACCGCCATGGTCATTTTACCCTAAAACAGTTGAGATTACCTGTCCTAAATGAATCGCATACAAACTCATATACAGGTCCTAGACTAGACGAAGTCAAAGTGGGAAATCGTAACTTCCAAAGCTTCAAGATAAAATATTTCCGAGTAGGATGTATTTTTAACTGAGTTTTATCGCCATCTTGCATGATTTTTTCTATAATCTAGACTACAGTACTTACTGGAACTTCTATGGAAACATTCCCTTTAACTATCCTAGCTACAATAATACCTATATTCTATAATAAGCAATTTTTTAAAGCGGATGTTAATATTCTTAATGTTGCTAATGTTGTGTTTTCTTCGTATCCAAGATATCTATTCTTCCCATCCCAGTCTGGGTTAGAAAGAGGAGAGACCCGGAGAACGATATTCGTCCTCAATAAGCGAAAAGTAGCTGCCATAGTGGTATAACTAACATTAGCAACCATCTCAACCACATGCCAGGTACGCCAGAAGTCACTGGAGGACAAGGCACTGGACAATCTCCCAGTGAAGAATCATGACCTCTCTCGTCTTCAGGAGAATTTCCTAAACAACAAAAGATTGGGTAGAGAAGGGCGTGATAAATAAAACTATTGAGTGGAATAAGTCGTTTCTACAAATCTTCTCACAAAACTTGTCACTAATATTGTTATTGTTGATATTATGGTTGTAATTGAATCTGATTTGCTTCTAACCAATACGTCTGACTTGTAATTACATTTACATGAACTAAATATGAAACATGGTTAAAAGATTAACATATAAATCGATTTCCGGTGGAATCCCCGCACGACTCCTTCTAAAGAATAATACCTGGCCCTTTATCAACTGTAGACTGCATATGAGTAATTTGTGTGGACCTTTTGAGGAGATGTGGGATGTCACGAACTGGATATCCTAAGCGTACCTTATCTTCAGAATTTACTGCTCAAGGCTACGTGCAAAATCCCTTTAACGATGGTGTGATCTATTATTATTCACACTTACCTTTTTCGTCAACATCTTCATATTCATAGCCGAAATCAAGAGATTTTCTGAACATTTCCTGATGAGTGTACACCGGAAACATAGGTACAATGACGTCATTTTTATTGTGACCCATGGGCGCATTGAATTTGGAAAGAACCGAAGCATCTTTTCCAAACTTTCGAAGCCACTTTTCGTAAATACGATCCACGAATGAATGATGAAGAGGAAAGATCGGGTCGTTCGAAGCCGGAGGGACATCTCCCATGATTCCACCAATGACTATAATAAATAATAATAATTTATTCATTTAAATATAAAGCGCAAAAAAATCTAAAACGCTATCACTACAAATTCAAATAAAATGTTATCAAATATGAGAAGCTACCTATATGCACCCGGTTATGCAAGTTATTTTCTTTCGGCAAACGATAACCTGTTTTGACACTAGTATAACCCTCCAGGATATTTCTGAAATTGCAACTGGACTCTTTGCTGTAAGGTGGGACGTCATAAGATCCAAATCGAAGTGCAAAGCTGACATCGTCGTTCGTTGGGAACGTCATGTTGCGGCCATTCTTTACCTCATTCTCCTTCTCCTTTTCAGTGTTCCTTTTCAGTCCACTTATGTTGACGTTAGGATTACAAAGCTTCGTGAGGCCATTCGTCAGTTCTTTGGTGCAAATTACCCGCCATTTGTCCAAGTATTTCCCTTTGACTTCACCATTAGATTGGTCGGTAACGCCGAGGAGATCCTCAGAGCAGATTATGGAGTTACATTGGGTGGGATTTTCAGTCCAGTCCCAGTATGGAAGAGCAAAATCTTCATCGTTCGCAATTTCCTACGGAATAGGCATACATAAATATTGTGCTTGAAAACATGACATTGCCGCTGGGTTTGTTTATCATTTTATTCCAAATGGCGGGCGAACAATGTCGTTTTCATGAGACGTTATATTATTAAATTTCTCTGCTACACCTTGCACACGAACGACTAGTTTAAACCCTTTATTTTTAGTAGCGTTTACGAACAAGTTTCAGAGCAACTTTGAGCGAAATTAATTCAATAGTTTGCAAGAAAATTGGTTCCGAGTACACACAAGCTAGCTCGCTTTAGGCGAGATCCCGTCTTTCTTAATATTTCCTACTAAATTTCATCTTGCGTTTATACAGGGTGTATAAAAAAAAAACTGAACAGATTTGAAATTGCTCTTAATTTCGCAAAACAGCTATTAATATCAAGTTTTCGATGTATATAGCTTCTTTGGGTACTTATAATGTAGAATAATAAAAAAATTCTCGAACTCAAATTTTGTGAACCAGGGGGGGGGGGGTCTTTTCCAACAAACTAAAAATGGCTTGCGCACGAAATGTAAAAGCTTTAATTATATTTTAAGTTAATAGATGGAACATTTCTTGGGTTTTTAATTACTGTACAAAATTTCAGACAATTTGTTTTAGTTTAAGCCCTTTAACTATTCACGCAAACTTACATTTTTTCTTAAAAGTATAGCTATTTCCTAATTTGCATATGTCAGCAATATGCAAAATAGGTAAAGGCATTAATTAAGCATGCGAAAGGCTAATTTTTTAGAGAAAAATGAATATTTAAAGGGCTTAAACTAAATTTATACACCCTGCATGAGAACCGAGCTGGCCCGCCTTACTGAAGTCCCCCGCTTCGTGTGACCCGAGACGTCGGGTAAACGGGCTGGGTAGTTTTCCATATAAACGCATTTACCCGAGCTGGCTCGGCTTTTAAGTAAAATAATGTCTTTGTGCGCATGCCCAAAATCGAAATTGACTTCCTGCGAAAATTTGTATTTGTTTTCACAAGTCAACCCGCCCCAAAAGTTTCATGTAAACGCGTGGTGAAATTCATCTCGGGGAAGCGAGTTAGCTCGGGCAGCCCCTAAAATTGGCCTTCGAAAACGACAGCCCCTAAAATCGGCCTTCGAAAACGACTCTTCCGCACGTTTTAAAGCGAATAAAGTGATCGGTAAGTGCATACTAAACAATTTACCTCTTGAAATAAAGCTATGTGACCAAGCAAACTAGATATATCGCTTATTTCTATTTCTGACCGCGTGATTTGCAAATACAAGCCGATTAAGTTGACAATTTTTTCAGCCGACATTTGATAAGTTTTGGCGCGAAAAGAAATAATGTCATTATACGGAAAAGTCTGATAGCGACTAGCAATGGCAGCTGCAAAAACAATAGCAAATTCAATATCGCGATACATGCAGAGAATTGCTTGAACCGTCTGAAGTTCCGTACGTATATATGTCAAAACTTTACCGAGCTAACTCTAAATACACTCGCCTGCAATGTTCTCTCCCATGCGAGCAAGTACAGTCGGTGCCAAGTAGGAAATCCCTGCCCGTCATGTGCAAAGTCGATATTGGTCTTCGCGACTTGCAGGTGAATAGTGTCACGTGCCGAGTAGTAATGCATCCACGTGAATAGGTCATAGTTACTGACGTTGAAAAATAGCCCGCTCGGATCTTTGCCTGCTTCGACGTCTTTGTTGATGTCCTCATAAAATTTGGCAGAAACTACATAGTCGCTTAAAAAGTATTTGGACTCATTAATATATCGCATGTAACGATCTTTCTCCTGTGCGGACAACTTTAGAAAATTTCTCCGTGTCAAGGTTTTCTTTTTCGTACAGTGGATGCCACGGTAACCGAACTCGCATTTGCCGCAATCGTAACCACCAAAGTTGCCGTTGCATTTGCAGGTTCTGTTATAAAGAGCGTGTGGCCAGTTGTGACGTTCGTCGTTGTTCTGGAACTGTTCAAAATAGCTGTAGCTGTAATTCCAATCACGGATAATCAATTCCTCGCACGTTCCTCGGTTCCCATCGCTACCACATGGCTCAGCAAAATGTTTCGGGATTGGGCAACATGTCTTGTTTTTCAAGTTCTCAAGGGTGGTACAAACTCTAGGAAACTGGCCTGAAGTCCATGGTAAGGCAGCGGCAACGAGTAGAAAGCACAGGATGGTTTTCAAGGTGTTCATCTTGTCAGTTGCTAAACTTTGGATACCGTCGATTGCAACTAAGCGGAAACATGTCATGAGAAAACACAATCCAATTGGCTGTCAAACGTGATTTGTTTGGACTTCAAACATCACATGATTTTACTGCAAACATTTGCATGTCAACTGTCAACTGTCAACTGTCAACTATCAACTGTCAGTATTCCAAATTTAGAAACACATTCATATTGGGCGGGGGTTAGCTTGCAAACACTAAATCCGTGATTAAATTCGTCTGAATTTAATTCGACGTATGAAACAGGCCTTAGCCTTAATGAAGTTCTAACATACCGTCGATTGCAACTAAGCGGAAACATGTCATGAGAAAACGCAATCCAATTGGCTGTCAAACATGATTTGTTTGGACTTCAAACATCACATGATTTTACTGCATGCAAACATTTACATGTCAACTGTCAACTGTCAATATTCCAAATTTAGAAACACATTCATATTGGGCGGGGATTAGCTTGCAAACACTAAATCCGTGATTAAATTCGTCTGAATTTAATTCGACGTATGAAACAGGCCTTAGTGAAGTTCCAACATAATGTAAATTTGTGAGTTTTGCGTTTATAGTGGACAAATTCAGTATTGTTTGCAATGTTTGTACTAACTTTGTTTAAAGAATCCGCGTCAACCGGCATGCACTGCGCGCTTTTTGTTTATATTATTGTTCACGCTTGTTACTTTATATTCGCGCATATTTGATACTTGACGGTCGCCACCCGCAACAAGCTTTAAAATTGTGATAAAATGTCCGATTCATACTCTGATTATGCTGTGTCTGCTTACGATCCTGAAGACAATTTAAATTGTTATGGTTCTCCGATTGAAATCCATGATCAAGTTCAGTTAGGAGAGGTTGCATCAACTGCCAGTTTGCCAGTGCTTCATTGAACAATTGTTGAAAACATTCAACCTCAACAAACCCAGGTATGTTTGGGATTTCATGTTTTGTTGATTCATTAATTGGTATGTATATTTCTATTTATTCATTGTATTTATTTCATAGTTTTGCAGCTGCAAGCCTGCAAGAATACTATGACGAATACATGTAGCAGACGTAGTGGACGAAAAAAGCGCGGTTGTCCGTGTCGCGATGAAAATTTGCATTGCACTGACAAGTGTTCCTGTGGGTCAAAAAAGTCTTCTTGTAAAAACCAGGAACAAAGTACGGCGACTGCGACGAATGCAAATGCTGGGAAAAATGCCTTTGACCGCCATCAAGCGGCCATCGAGGTTTCTAACCGCGAGATTACCTGTAATACGGTAAGCAAAGCAAGTGTTCATTCAGAATTTTGATCGTTTTAATTTCCCATATATATTTTGCACACCAGGTCTTTTATATTAATCCAAATAATTATGAGTATTACAATATAAACAACGCAAATATAAAAGTTAAATGATGCATACACACGACGCATATTCAATGAAAATTTCCACATATGCGCCCTATTAATGAATAATTCATTGTTCTTTCTAGCTGTTAGTCAAGCAAACATGGCTGCCAAGCAGAGGGCTGCCAAGCGCAAGTAGTGCACTGTATTAATATATGTATGTGGCTTACTATGATATTTATCAAGGCTTTAGGCACAGTTATATTTAGTTTTCCTGGTTATGTCTTCATAAATGGCTTTATATATAATTTTAGGGCTTTATCGAGGGATTAAGCGACGCTCAAAAAGACAATATTCTTTTAAATTTATTGTCAAATGGAAAAGGGAGTCTGGATTAAGCCAAGAATTTGGTAAAATATGGCACAGGTGATGCTGTCCCACCTGTCCCAGATGGAAAACCTACCTGGTGTGTATGTGGTGTCTGTCGTGTCATGCCTACTGAGGACGAAAACAAATGTTGTGGCAGGATTCGTTGTGTTACATCATTTGTCACATTCCAGAACACATGTACTGACAGGGATATTTTGTTGATTGCAATTAGAGCTGCATACCGTCAGTATATCATTTGGAGGTACAATAAATTCGGCAGGGGCAATCGAAGGGTGTGTCCAATTGCCCATCATGTGTAGTTTTGGCCATTCAGGTTATAATTCCCCAACCTCATTCACAGATTCTTACCTCTTGTGGACAGTGCAGTAAATATCCTGGTATGGGCTAGTCAAATCTAGCAGATTTCTAATTAACCGACTATAAATTAACCCAATCGACTTTGTTTTAACACATCCAACCCCCTTACCCATTTTCAACCTATACCCGTTAGGATTACTTCTAGAAAAGGACTAAAACTAAATTATTTTGAGAGATCGATCAGGAATAATTTAATACGTATCCCTCTAGTGGATTCACAAGATATACCAAATTCTAAGAATGAACGAAGGTTACCGAACGTTTTGATTCTAAACACAAGGTCTCTAGTTAGTAAAACGGACGAGCTTGCAAACTTAGTGGAACTATATAAATCCAACCTGGTGTTTGTCACCGAAACATGACTGTGTGATAAAATCCCGGACGAGGCTATTCAACTGCCGGGTATGACATCTATAAGGAAAGACAGAATCGGTCGCAGAGGTGGCGGTGTAGTCCTTTATATTTCCAATAGCATCCCCACCAAAACACGACATGATTTTTCTCAATCACCTTTCGAATGCCTCTGGGCTATCCTTCGACCAACTTGGCTACCTAGATGTATTTCTCGAATAGCAGTAGCTGTGGCTTATTTGCCACCATCAACGACATCTGAAGACGTAGAACGCTTTTACGACTATTTTTACAACTGTTATGACATACTGATCTCGGAAAGTCCTAGCACATCCTTTATTATAGCAGGAGATTTTAACCCTACCAGCAACGGGTTTCGTCCCGCCAAATTAGTCAGGTATAGCAAATTGAAACAAATTATTAAGAATCCTACAAGAGGATCAAACACTCTCGATCTATTATTTACAGATATATCTACATTTTTCGAGACCCCAAAAATTCTCGCCCCAATTGCAACGTCAGATCATACAACTATCCTATTAGATGCCAAAGTTCATGTAACTCGGAAAAACGCCATAAGAAAAGTCAAGGTTAGACCATTAAAACAATCGTCTCTACAAGACATCGAAGAATACCTAAAACACTACGACTGGTTACCAGTTCTTTCTGAAAATAATGTAGATAACAAGGTCGATAGTTTTTTGGAAATAACCCATAACATTATTGACTTTTATTTTCCGACAAAGATAATTAAAGTACATGATGAAGACAAACCCTTCATAACTGGAAAAATTAAAAGTTTGATTAGTAAGCGAAACAAAGCCTACAAGAGCGGTAAATACATTCTCTTCAAGACTATTCGGAACCAAATTGTATTGGAGATTCGCGTGAGCAAAAGAAAATTTTATGAAGAAAAAATCCTCCCAACTTATCGACAAAATCCTAAAATATGGTGGAAAAACATATACGATATCGTTGGAAAGAAGAGAAATACCACACCAATGCTTCTTGACCCCATCTCCGAACTACCAATGAATAATAAGCAAACGGCTGATCACATAAATTCATTCTTCTCAAGTCTTACAAACGACTTCTTGGAAGTACGGGGAGATTGGCTAGCACGGGGTGGACTAGATCCCCTCCCATCAATTACTGATGAAAATGTTGCCAAAAGAATGAGTGATCTTACTGTCGGAAGGCAGCCGGTCCATACGACCCATACATAAAATTGATCAAGATGATCGCGAAATATTTTGCTATCCCTTTGGCCGATATATACAACGAATCATTCATGTCAAGAATAGTTCCCCAAATTTGGAAATTTTATACAGTCTGCGCGATTCCGAAGATTACGCCTTGTTCGAATGTTGAAGACCTGCGTCCAATCTCTCTCACTAGCGTCCTATCCAAGGTTCAAGAGTCGTATGTTGTCGAGTGGGTACATGAAGATATAAAAGGAAAAGTGAGCGAAGCTCAACTCGGAGGACTGCCAGGTTCTTCGGCAGTCTTAGCAATTATCCTGGATTTTCGAAAAGCGTTCGACCTAATTGACCACAATAAGTTACTCCAGAACCTTGAGAAAATAGGTGTTAGACCAGCATTGCTAGCTTGGCTCGGGTCATACCTCCAAGGCAGATCACAAGTTACAAAAGTCGGAAACACTTTTTCCGACCCAGCATATATTAAAGGTGGAGTGCCACAAGGTAGTAAAATCGGTCCCTTAGCCTTCATAGTTCATATAAACGATCTCCCATCAGTGGTTCAGTCACCTGATGATGATAACAGTGATACTGTTTCAATGTTTATGGATGACACTACCATGTCTGAAGTTTTAAACGTTTCCGATAATATCTCTGGAGAATCGATCGGCAACTCCCAACGTAATTTGGAGAGTGTATTACAATTTACCGACGACGAAAATATGCAACTAAATTTTAAAAAATGCAAAGAAATGCATATCGACTTTCGTAAGAATAAAACGGTTATACCCCCAACTACATTAGGGGAGCAGTTTCTCACTAAAGTAAGATCTTACAAGCTACAGGGTATCTGGTTCGACGATGACCTTAAATGGAAAACAAATGAAGTACATCACAAAAAAGGCAGCTAAGAGACTATTCTTTATGAAGATTCTAAAGAGTTATAATGCGCCAAAAGAAGCTCTGAAGACTTTCTACGTAGCAGTAGTGAGATCAGTTTTGGAATATGGCGCCCAAGTTTGGAACGGCGGGTTGACAATGGAGCAAAGCGAAGATATTGAGCGAATTCAGAAAAGAGCGTTAAGAATAATGTATCCGGAACTAAAGTACCATGAAACACTAATGGAATCGAACCTCAAAACGCTAACCGACCGATGCGATGACATGTGTGTCCAACTTATTAAGGACATGTCAAACCCGAATCGTACACTTAACCACCTCTTACCAAAGAAAACTTCCCAAATAAAGCAACGAGACACGAGAATGAATGAGGCAACGTACTATAACTTTGCATGTAAAACAGAACGTTTTAAACATAGTCCAATTGTATATGCAATTGGCAAATATAATCTTTATATTGATAAGTAAGCATGAGGGTTTATATATTTTAGTGAGTAATAACTAACATAATCTAATTCTATCTGTAAATATGACAATAGTTTTAAGACTTTTTTTACATTAAAGTAGCTTTAGTTTAGTAGAGACCATAGTATTGATACTTTTTACATTACATTTTATCATTGTAAAAGTTCTATCACTGCAAACGTCACCGTATTTTAGCTTATCAAGCTACTTAATGAATGTAATAAATCATAAGTAGAATTATCTCTCGTTAATAACTGCACTGGTTGAAGTATCTGCATCATTTCTTACTGCTATACTTGTTTCACTTGACGAATATTGTGGATTATTTAGATTATCAACTGTTACTCTTACAGTAGGGCTTTTTCTTGGTTTACTTGTTGTTGCAAAACCTGTTGATAAGTTGTTGATGTATGTTTTCTTGCCTTCCACAAAATGCAATGAACACACCCTGTGACTGGGAACAGGCTCTCTTACACCTTTTCTTTTCAAACGTCGTACCCACTTCTTCTTTAACTCAGGATTTTTCGGAATCTTATGAAAAGACAGTTCCGGTTCTTTTCGATTGTTACTTTCACATTGTGGTATAGAGCAAAATCTTTTCCACACCTGTTCAGTTACTTCATCATTTTCAGTGTTATTCACCTCAAGTGAAGTGTTAGGTTCAACTTCCATATTTACTAAATTTAAATACTCGTTTAAAAACTGGCCTAAACTGTACAATTTTAAAATATATTACTTGTATTCACAGTATTTACAATATTAACACATTTTAATATATCCTACATATTAATTTTACTATTTATAACTTAACTAAATATTTTTATGTCCTATCCAAAAATTTATATACAAAATATAAAACGACTTTAAGGCCTAAAAAGTTTAATATTTGAATATACCTAAATTTATTTACCTAAAATTATTCTAGAACTCACGAGTAATTTAAAAAAATTAACAATGGAGGACACGAACCAAATTGCACTTCAGCTAGAGGACAATCAACAGCAGTAAACCCAGAAAATTTTTTTATCTTTAAATTTTCTTGCTACAATTGAAGGCTGCTTATTTAAATTCAGGGTATTTTCGCGCCAAAACAAAGGTAAAACATTAGGTGAAGTGAGGGCACGTTCAATGGCAAATTTGAACACAATCGTCACAAAAGTTGTAAATTTCGCGAAGCTTAAAATGCCATTTCGACACGCGAACATGTAAAACTATGAGATCGAATACAAACAACTATCAGAGCATCTTTTTTGAAATAATATTTAGCCGATCGCAAATTGAAACGCCAACTCACCTGCTTTAGTTGGGAAGGTTACAATTTCGCGAGAAAACTTCTGCAAGGCATGTTTACAAGACGTGCCACTCTCAACGCATTTTCTCGGCCGCTAATGGACAGAAATTCCTCAAATTTCCCCAGAATATAGCGAAAAGCGCCCTTGTTATGCCCCACAACAAAAAACGTATCGATCGATGCAATAAATAGTTTAAAATCCGCCATATATTCCTCCAAACAAAATCGTCCGCTCCCACGGCGGCCATTTCGTTTGGAAGCAGCTTACAGCCTCCTACCGTCATGCTTAGCGGTCCGAAATCTATAATGCGAGTTGTCCATTATGGGCGCCCTGAGCAAATGGTGAAGTTGATGTATTTCAGGAAATATGGTATCTTTATGGCACCCCCTCCCTCCCCCCGTCGCCACTTTAAATGGGCACAACCTGGGGCCCTATGCCAAAGCTGGGTGCCCTTTAGCACAAATTAAGTACGCCACTGGTTATAACAGTACATTATTGCTGATGACAATGATTATGATCGTCATGCTATTTTTGATAACTATTTCGTTGATTCATTAGATTATAAGATTTCTAAGTTTTTGAAAATAAATGTTTTGTAGTCCAAATAAAAGAGATTTACATGTACCAGTTGACATCGCGCACGCCAAATGTCCATAGGTATCCATGGCAACAGCTGATACAGTGTCATGTGTCTCTTTTCCTAGTGGTTTACTCCCATAGTAATACTTTACATAACCCAGATAATCCTCGTAACTAACTTTCACTTTCTCTCTGGCCAGTTCGCTGATCAATTCGCCCGGATCACACTTTGGAAATCCCTTTCTTTGAGCAAATTGCAGAGCTCCATCTCCACTTAAGGCACAGTGAGATGATTCGTACATGATTATTTTGGAGAGCGAAACAGGGTTTTTAAAATGACGTCCAGAGATCACTGCACCTAAAGATTTAAGTAAAGTCAGGCTGTATGACATGGATCAGCCAGAAAGATGTTACTTACGAAGAATAAATGGCAGCATGTCCAAACTAGAAGGCACTCCGAGTTTGCATACCTCCGTCAGCGAATTAAATTATGTATCATGCGTAAATTATGCAATGGGCTATTGCTACAAACTATTAATAATTATTATAATAATAATAACAGGCTTTATTTCACACTGATAACTTCATGGCCCTCGCCAAATTTCATAATCAATTTGTTTGAAATGATCTGTGGCATATTTCATTCCGAGAGCGATATAGAAAATCTATAATATGGTTGTGAAATATAGTGAACCTCTCTTCCATATGGGAGAAACTTCATTTTTACAGTTCTATAATGAAGTATTTTCTCGTGAGCAGAAAACGCAGTGACAGCAGAATATAACTGGGGCTACGAAAAATGGTTATCAGCGTATAAATTACAAGCGTAATTCTACCATATCTTAACGTGTGTCCTTCCATAATCATTGCATCACATTCCACTTCACCATCGTTGTTCAATAACGACCCATAACCTGCATTAAAATATTCATTGTTCTCCAAGTCACGTACTGCTGCTTCTACAGCTTCAACTGCCGTGCCGCCGTTCTGTTAAAGAATAGGTTTAACCCATTAAGTTGCATTTTCACTCTGTCTAACACCAGACGATTTTACTCCAGGGAAGAACGTTGGCGCTCAATACATTAATATCGGTTGTTTTTGATGTTACTCTGAGTGTATATCCGCACCGTGTAAGCTTGAAAAATATGCCTGGCCACGGTGGGAACCCAATGCTCTGCCAACTGAGCTACGCGGTCAGGTTGGTTCGAGTATGTGATATTTCGGAACTAGTTCCTTCGATATCAATGGAATCTATTAATCATGATATTTTCTGTGTTGGTGTTGTGTACTCAGGTGAATATGATTGTTTGTGATGTTACTCTGAGTGTATATCCACACCGGGTAAGCTTGAAAAATATGCCTGGCCACGATGGGAATCGAAACTACGACCTTTGGAATACTAGCCCAATGCTCTGTCAACTGAGCTACGCGGTCAGGTGGGTTCGAGTTGATGATATTTCGGAACTGAGTCTAGTTCCTTCGATATCAACTCGAACCGACCTGACCGCGTAGCCCAGTTGGCAAAGCATGGACTAGTATTCCAAAGGTCCTAGGTTCGATTCCCACCGTGGCCAGGCATATTTTTCAAGCTTGCCCGGTGTGGATATACACTCACATATTTACAGGAGTACACAACACCAACACAGAAAATATCAACATTAATATCGGGTTTTTAAGAATTGAATTGAAAGAGTTTATGCTCGTAAAATTAAAGTAAGTCGTTAGGGGTAAAAGGTAAATCACATGCTTAATTTAACGAACACTTACCATCAATATGTCATATCCTTTTCTAGCAGATTCCTTTGTTGCTCTCTTATACTCCCATTTATTATCAGGTGGCATGGATCTATACGCACCGCCTTGAACAATAATTCTTGGACTGATATTTCCTTTTAAAAAAGTCAGAGATTGCTCTTGTTATACAATGTTGCACTTCTCTCACAAACATGTTTTCATATCAAACTATCAAACTGGTCAGTCGTCAACGTTTATACATTTTCACTTTTATCTGTTCCTAAAACATGCCATTAGATTTGTTGTTTGAAAACGTTGATAAACTTTGTGCAGCTTTACTAATAGTACGCGTCTCATTTAGTGAAGCTTGATAAAATTTTGAAATGTAATTAACTTTTTGTCACAATGTAAACATGTGGACACTGCCGAAGAGAGATTAAATGCTCACTTTAAAACTGTCGATGGTTTATCTTTGAAAATACTTTTGGTAAATAGTTCATCATATTTATTAAAAAACCCTGCAGATCGGTAGGGTAGGAGGTTGGCAGGTAGTAAAGTACAACAATTTTCAGCCTCAGGGCGTAAATCAGCAGGTGGTATATACAATCACGGCTTTAGCCTGATAATTTTTTGGCCTCCATGTACTAAGTAATGGGGTAACAGCAATATTTATAACAGTATTTTTCTGATATACAGTACACACTTTATAATATGAACATAGTCATAGATAATTCCATAAACCACGGAATAAACAACGGCATAAACACACAGTCTGATATGCATATGCATTCATACGTATTCACACTACACGACGATAACGATACGATAAATTGTGAACACGCGATAATTGGCAAAAAAATTGTGTTAGTGTCCACACCACAACGAAAATGATAAAATTATCGTTGAACGATAACGATAATATTTTAAAATCGCTCACCTGGGCGATTTTTTTTTCAGTCGGCCGATAACGATAAATTTTTGACCAATCAGCGCGTGTATACAAGTTATCGTATATCGTTGTCGTTGTGTAGTGTTACCTGGGCTTAACATAGTCTTAGAGTTTGATTCAGTATTATTATATTTCACAAAATACTTCATTACAGTAAAGTAATTTCATTACAGTATAGCTAATGTCACAATTAAAGCCATTTATCAAATTTATCATGCGGACTTCAATCTCTAAATGTCCTAAATGTGATGCAAATAACATACACGCACAGACGAGTCTTTGACTTATCTTTGAGTAGGCTATTGTCGGATTATTTTACCGTAGGTTTGATAACAGGGAGGTATACTTCGACATATTTCTTGAGCATCAAGTTTCAACAGATTCTGGTTTTTCGTATCTCTGAGGATGGTTCTGAAGTTTCAGCAGTCCGAGTAGCATTGTTTACAAGAAACATAGTTTGCGATATTTCAGAAATCAAAAGATCTTTATATTTCGTTACACATCTCAGTATTAAATAAATCCTTTAGGATAGACATCAACAGCTAAATAACAGCCACATCGGTCGGTACCGGTGTAGAAATATATTTTCTTGTAACGATTACGACGTGTTAATTTCTTATCGGCATAATTGATAATTTGTCTATTGAAATTCAACCATTGGCAGTGTCTTCAAGCGACGACATTAATACTTGTTTTGAAATGCACACTAAACTGATTATCATCTTAATATGCTTATTATGGCAATTCGTGGAATGCCCTGTAACAAGAAATGCTTCAGAACTATTTGGAGAAATGAGGGAATGCATATTCCCAAATAGCAGAGAAGGAAAGATACTTCAAGATATAGAAGATATATTTGATTTCACTTGCCTGATACAAGAACCCACACGAATTACACCCACCACAAGTACTCTACTTGATGTTATCCTTACAAATAAGGCCGATATGTTTGACCATTCTGGAGTAATTGATTTAGGACTCAGTGATCACTGATTTATGGGTTCCTTAAACCAGAAGTGAAACGATATCTTATGAAAATAATTTCATTTAGAAGGACAGAAAAGATGAATGAGTTGGAAATGAAGAAAGATATGGAGGAAGCTAAGCGTGCACTTAATTCTGATAATACACTACCAGTTGATGAGCAATGTAAACGGTGGAACACTGAGGTAAATAACGTGCTTGATAAACATATGCCTCTTAAAAGCATGAGGGTAAGAGCAAAAGACGTACCATATATTACTGCTGAATGGAAACAAGCAATTAGGAAGAAACGTAAATTTGCCAAGAGACATAAGAAATTGCAAACTGAGGAAAGTTTGGCAGAATTGAGGAAGTGGAGAAATGCAGCTACACGAATTAGAAGGAGGGCAATCAGGAAATACTGGAGAGAGAAAGCAGAAGATCTTAAAACCAATCCCAGAAACTTTTTCAATGCATTTGCCCCTTTCATTAGAAATAAAGGAAAAGAGAACACGACTATATCCTTGCAAGTCGATGACAAAATCGAGCATGACCAACGTGAAGTTGCGCAAGTATTGGCAAACTATTTTTCCACTATCGCGGATAAAATAGGAGACATACATATTGATTCTTGAAACCTCAGCATTAAGAACCATAGTAGTGTTAAGAAAATCCATCAAAAATGGTCACAAAATTCGTTTAGTTTCAGAGAAATCACACAGACAGAGGTTTTGACAGCATTGCAGCAACTAAACCCCAACAAGGCTACTGGTCATGACTTCCTACCTCCCAAGGCGCTGAGAATTACTGCAGAGGAGATATCTGGCTCGCTCACTACCATCTACAATCAGGTACTTGCACACGGAGTTTGGCCTGCGGATTGGAAATGGGGAGAATGGATTCCAATACATAAAAAAGATGATCACTTATCGAAGGAAAACTACAGACCGGTTACTATATTGATCGCTGTTGATAAAGTGTTCGAACAGCTTCTGTGCAAGCAACTATGTGAATTAACAGATAAGATTTTTGATGATTTTATGTCCGCGTATAGGAAATCGTATAGTTGCGAGACCACTCTAATTCGTCTGGTGGAGGACTGGAAACATGCACTCGATCATAATAAAGCCGTAGGAGTATTATCATCAGATATGAGTAAAGCTTTTGATTCCATGTATCCACCATTGCTGCTCTCCAAACTTCAAGCATATGGTATGTCAAATAGTTCCTTGGCAATCCTAGAATCATACTTTAAGGACCGTAAAAACAGGGTAAGACTTAGCAATAATGTTAGCAGCGATTGGACCACTGTTACTCGTGGTTGCCCACAGGGTTCCTCTTTGGGACCAGTTTTGTGGAATATATATCAAAACGATCTATTCTATGAGAATATTAGCTCACAACTCTCAATGTATGCAGATGATCACTAACTCTATTCTTTAAATCAAACAATCGCAGAGGCATCAATGGTGCTGGAAATGGATGGAAGAATTACGGGGAATGGTATAAGATAAACCATTTGGAAGCCAACCTTAGTAAATACCAGATTATGATGATGACCAAAGGTAATGGCAATATTACAGACGTGAATATCGATAACAATACAATACGTCAGACGGAACAGATGAAGCTTCTTGGAGTAACTTTGGATAAAGATCTAAACTTCTCAGAACATGTGTCTTCTATTTGTAAGACAACCAGCAAGAGAATTGGAGTATTGATGAGGCTTCGGAAGCTGATACCAACCACAGCAAAACTACAAATATATAAAGCAGCTATTATGCTCTACTTCAATTACTGTAGTCTTGTCTGGCATTTTTGTAAGGGAAGTGATAAGAATAAACTAGAGCGAACTAATGAAAGAGGGCTAGGAGCAGTTTTTTTGCGACTGGGGTTCCTCTTACGCAGAGCTATTAACGAAGGCTAATATGACCACATTATATAATATTCGGTTGCAAAATATAGCAATTTTTATGTATAAAATTAAACATAAACTGTTACCAAATAATATTCTAGATTTATTTGAAAGTACTCAGTCAACTTATAATCTTAGGAACTCTGACTTTCGTCGCCCTAGATTTAATGGGGTCAAATATGGCAGACATTCCTTACGATACTTCGGTCCATATTTATGGGACAAACTTTTACCAGAATTAAGAACTCTACCTTCTATTCAAAGCTTTAAGAACGATATCAGGAAAGCAGATTTGGCCGACTTAGTTGACACCAATTCTTGTAAGAATTGTGCCATATGTAGCACTTAGCACTATAATATTTAAATATGACACCAATTCTTGTAAGAATTGTGCCATATGTAGCACTTAGCACTATAATATTTAAATAATTAGATTATGCATGATACGAATATGTAAATAGATAAATTAGCTAGACGTAATCGCTTCATATTATTGTAATTAGGATAATTTTAAGTGTCCCCGATTAGTGAAAGTTGATCTTTGGCTATAAGACATGACACTTTAATAAAGTTATCAATCAATCAATCAATGAAGGTATTCACACATTTTGTTTTCAATGCTCATTTTGACCAGGTAAATATTATTAGAGCGGCAGCAACGTTTTTTGCCAGTGAGCATACTGTATAAATTGATATTTAATGTTAAGACCATATAAATTGAAGTGTAAAACTAGTTAATATATTTCTTGTAAATATGCAAATAATATCAATGATCAATGTTCATGACTTGCTACTCCCATCGAGGTCCGCATTTATATATAGGTTATCATATAAGGGATGAGGTGATATCAGTTTTATCGCTCGAGGGATGATATCACAATTGTCACGAGCGAGCGCAGCGAGCGAGGGACAATTGTGATATCGTCCTGAGAGCGATAAAGCTGATATCACCAAATCCCGAGTACGATAACCTATTTATTATATACTTGTACCTTTATCAGGGTTTGACACCCAAAAGTAAAGTACAGTTTTGATATAGGATCATTTTAGAATTCAAAAAAATTGATCATTTACTGAACAAATATGATTTTAGAAAATAAATAGACCATTCATATAAATAATATACAATTTAAGTCTTTCGTTTTGTATTATCGTTCTTGTTTCCTTCGATAAAACTGTCGACATCAACCAACACGAACCTCGAGTCGGCCATCTTTGTTTTGACAAGGCGCGAAATTTAACACGAACCTCGAGTCGGCCATCTTTGTTTTGACAAGGCGCGAAATTTAGCGGGACAAAAAACAATATCCGGGACAAAAAACGATATCCCGGGACAAAAAACGATATCCGGGACAAAAAACGATATCCGGGACAAAAAAGATGTCCGGGACGTTGTTATATCGTAGATATCGTTTTTATGTCCCGCTGCTTCCTACCTGATAAAGGTACAAGTATGTGAAAAAGATGTCCGGGACGATATCGTTTTTATGTCCCGCTGCTTCCTACCTGATAAAGGTACAAGTATGTGATAAAATACAATTCACCCTATAAAAATCTTATTCCCATTTTTATACACTGTAACCTTGCCTCTGCCATCTGAGACCTTGTAATTCAATGGTTATATACTAGAGTGATCTGTCTGCATGGTAATTAGAACGTTGTCTGTTTCGATTCCCGTCAAGGCTGAGCTTGATATGGATGTACAACTCGTACAAACACAAGAATCATAATGAAAATTATGTAAAATTAAAGTGTAAAGAAGGCATTTCAAGACTTATTTTTATGAAATTTGACACAAAGAACAGGAAGTTACAAGTTACATATTTTGAGCAACCGATTTAGTTACTTTTACATTAGGGATTTAATAACACCAGATACTGTACCAATTGAAAATGGATGGATATATTCTGTAAATTTAAGCCCATCTGTTCTGCATCTCTGCCACGCCAAATGTTAATACAAATCATACTTAACTAGAAATATATGCATGCAAGCACCTCTGCCTTGCTAACCATGCACCAGTATATATTTTCGTTTTTTTTTCTGTTCGTACCATGCAGTTTCGCCCTTAATAACATACATGAAAAAAATTCTCAATTCTGATTGGCTAAGAGCAGTGCAATTTTTTCGAAATACAGTGCCAAAAAATGAAATATAGTGCAAAAAATGAAATACAGTGCAAAAAATGAAATACAGTGCCAAAAAATGAAATACAGTGCCAAAAAATGAAATACAGTGCAAAAAATGAAATACAGTGCAAAATGAGAAAGTATTGGGGGCAGCAATCTGTCCCTCCCCTCCTCCTGTTCGCCGGGCATTTTTTAAGGATTTTCCCGTAGGGGCATTTTTGAAAAGAGATCTTTCTGTGAGATAATATATTACAGGGAGATAGCAATGGCTGAAGGCCACGTGTGTGACCAACATACCATGCACGCATGGATGGGGGGAGGGTCTGGGGGTGTACTCCCCCCGAAATTTTTTGAAATTTGAAGCACGGAAATGCCATTTCCTGCAATCCTTAGCAACCAAATTTGCTCCAAAATGTATGCTAACTATACTTGTATTTGAAATAAAAGAAGGAAAAAATGCACAAAAAGTAAAAAAGAATATTAACCAAAATTTATCATTACTTATTAGAGGAGGATACCAATGGTTACTTGTGTGGGGGTGTACTCCCCCAGAAAATTTTTGAAATTTGAAACACGGAAATGCCATTTTCTGCATTCTGAGCATCCAAATTTGCTCTAAAATTTATGCTAACTATACTTGTATTTGAAATAAAAGAAGGAAAAAATGCACAAAAAGTAAAAAAGAATATTAACCGTAATTTATCATTATACTTATTATAGAAGGGGATACAAATGGCCGAAGGCCACGTGTGTGGGGGCATAATCTCCAGAAAATTTTTCAAATTTGAAACCTGGAAATGCTCTTTCCTGCATTCTGAGCATCCAAAAAAATAAAAATTATTAACAATAATTTATCATTACTTAGTGATAGAAAACCGTAACAATTTAAATCGATTGTGTTAAACAAGGACAAAGGATAAAGCCTAAAACTTACTTTCCGTTTATTTATTTGTTATTCTTCGCTGTTTTGTTGGAGTATAAATATAGGAAAAAGGGACTTTTCCTGGGGGGGAAATGTGATTTCGTGGGGGGGGGGGACTGGCGGTTTGTTAAAAAGGCCCTGCCTGTTCGATGATGTTGTATACAGCTAGTGCCAATTTTTAATAGGCCATTTTCAAAATACGACCGAATACCCTCAAATACCGTAATAGCCTGAGAATGGGGCTTCGTACTAAGTTGTAATGTTTTTATAGCAAATTAGCACTAATTGGTGTTACTGTTCTTGGAAATTACAGCGTAGTTTGCAAATTTTGTTCGTTCGTCGATATCACCCACCCTATAAAGTATAACATGGGACATACCAGTGCGTGTGGTATTTGCTACACATTGGAGTCGTTAATACTGATATTTCGACACAACCGTTACTGGTTTGGAACGAGGCTTTGAGTGTTCCTGAAATAACCCGATCTCTTGTCTCGAGAAGTTTAACAGAACTTTTACTAGGACTGCCCCTGCGGGCAGTCCCGTGACATTGGCGATTTCTTGTGACTGCCCGCAGGCTAGACATTTGCCTGACTAGCAAGCTGGTAATATTCAGCAAGCTTTCTCCCAGTACCGCAGGCTTGGATTCTCAGCGAACTTGTGGTGAAAAATTGAAAGTTTTGCATTTTGCACAGAACTGTCCACTTTCTGTCCGCTTTATGTCCGCTGACAATACGAGCCCGCACGAGTGGGGGGAATTTTGCTAAATTTGACCAACGTGTAGCTCAACAGTTTCAATGCTGGTTATGTATATGAACAATTACTTCATTCTGATTGGCTAAGAGCAGTGTAATTTTATCAAAGTACAATGCCAAGTTCAGTTCAGTGCAAAAAAAGAAATACGTGGCTAGCGCCAATAATAGTATAGAAAAGACAAAACTTGAATTAAGTTACGCCATTCAAATTAGTGAATAAATATTTTTTATTTCGCATTCATTTGGTTTCATGCATGCAAGTTACCATGAATTTGCTTCTGCCTATTTTTTATGTATATTTTTAACTATTGATAAGTACGTATTAGCATGGTTTCTCGTGTATTTGGGGTTTTTTAGAGACTTCAAATTGGACTCGTGCAATTTCGCACTCAAAAAGCATACTATATTACCTACTATATACAAACTAATAAATACACCGTTGCTATGAGATAATATTGTTGATATCGCAAGAGTATATTTCAAATTTATTCATATAATACTATTTGTTGGGATCTTGGACATGTCCGTCTAATGAAGATTTATTTCTGACATATGTAGGGATGAATTTGTGATAATTTGATTCCATTCCATTTTACTATAGCTTTGTTGCCTCATGAGAGACGAGAAGTTGTTACGTTGGATTGCTGTGATATTTCAACAGCCGGAGAACCTGGAGAAATTGGGCGTGTTTGCCCACGTGTGACTGAACTTGACCTCACAAGCAACCATATCGAAGACTGGAATGATGTATGTTGCATGTTGCAGTTTCTTTACATGTATTAATTTTAGAACTTTGTTTTCTCCCTACAAAGTATCATAGTATACCGAAAAGGCACTATATCTGATGCAACTTGCTATACCTTTATGGCTCGGCCATAAAAGGTGGTCACAAGTATAGGCTGAAACATGACAGTAAATTGCTCAGTCTACCACTGATCAGTTGAGGTGCCTGCTGGCTTTCATGTCAGTTATGTTTTTGGAGTTTTTGCTGCGTATTTTGCAGAAATACTTTTGAAAACTTTGCGGTGAGTAGGTATATTTGAAACAAACGCCCTAAAGAGGCTACAGTTTGTTTCACTTTGTTTTTGTTTAAAATAATTTGTGGTATTCGAACATGTTTTTTTGCACAATTTTCGTACAGTACTTTCAACTATACCTGCATGTAAACATCGTACATTAAAATGATTTATGTACTTATGCAATTATATATATATTATGTACAGATATTATCTGTTACCAAAAACTTAACAATGCAATGCCTTAAAGGCTATTTACAACAATATTTTGATTTATTTTGTACTCCTATTGTCCACAATATTGACTAATACATTAAATGTTAAAATAACTTTACAGGGGAAAGGAGGATGAAATTTATATTGTTTCTTGTTTTTTTTTTTATTTAAACTGTACACAAGAAAATACCATTAATGGTAAATATTCTAAACCTCATGGTTTTTACCAATATACAATATGCAAAATCAATAATACCCAACAATGGTAAGAGTTAGTTTTTCATTCAAAAACCCAGTACTGCCATCACCATGGTACACAATTAAGCATTATTTTATTGCTGTAGGTACTGACGATTTTAAGCCAATTGAAGTATCTGCGCTTTCTAAGTCTCTGTGGAAATCCTCTCGATGATTCAACTTACTCCTCGGACTTGGTTTCGAACATATTCCAATCAGGAGGCTTTGCGTCATTAACGAAATTAGTGTTAAACAATACAAATGTTCCTTTGTGCACAGTGCAACGTCTTTTAAAATACTTTCCAAGGTAGGTTTTCAGGAGTTCTCAAGTTAGTGTATACAGAATAGGCTATACTGCTAGACTGCACTCAGGCAATTACTGACATAAAAATCTCAGCTCAATTATTACTCCAATATGTATATATATATACCTTTTTGCTTGTACATGTGCTAAATATGATACTCTGTATCTTTTTTACAGTCTGGAGGAATTACACCTTAGTCTCAACAACTATCCACGTGTTCCTGAATACAAAGATCCGTGCACAACCGTTAAGCGGTTACACTTTAATGGCAATAGCATCAAACATTGGGAAGATGTGGAGAGAATAGGGAAAATATTTTCAAATCTCGAAACATTGATTATCATGGAAAACCCGCTGTTAAATGTTGAAAGAAGGAGCAAAGACGAAAGTTTTCTTTCCTTGAAATGCCTTTACCTAACAAAGACAAAGTTAACCTCTTGGGAACACATTGAAGATTTAAGGAAATTCCTGAGCTTGAATGAAGTGAAACTAATTGGTATCTCTTTACTAGCTAGCTACGAGAAAAACGACGCACGTAGGCTACTTGTTGCTAGGTTACCGAATATAGGATGTTTAAATGGCACACCGGTTACCAGTACAGAGCGCGAAGATGCTGAACGACATTTTATTCGCAAATATCAGACCTCTAACCAGCCGCCTGCCAGATATCATGAGCTTGTTGCAATTCACGGTGAGCTCGACCCACTTGCTGAAGTAAATATGGATTCAAGGGCTGACTACGTTGATATTTTAATGCATATTACAGGGCGCGCTCCTCGCCTTCAAAGTGTATATCTTGAAAAAACTACCTGGCAATTCAGAAAAGATATCGCCGATATGTTACAGGTGCATGTTAGCAAGATCTCTCTTAATTATCAAGATAAGGGTTCTATGCAATGGAGTGAGAGAATGATATATAAAAATAGGCCTTTGTATCGTTATGGAATTAAAGACGGCGATGCAATATTTGTAGTTGTACATGATAGCGAGAACTTCTAATCTGATAAAATATTAAAATTTAGTACGCTATTTATATGACGCCCTGCCAGTTGATATATGATTTAGGCTCCTTGTTCTGAAAATAGTATTGCCTAGCAGAAGGCGGAGTCATCCAAAAATGTACCTGTTTTTTCGTCGGGGAGGGCATTATTCGATATGCATGATTTCACAAGGATTAGGTTGTGCATGGCCTAGAGTATAAGCTATCGAAGGGAAAATGGCTGTGAAACTCATCAGAATAACAATATAACTCATTATCTACAGTATGTTAGTCAACGTTAACTTTATTCTGCATAAACACGATCCTTCGCCGTCACGTGTGTATTGTATCTTTGCCAAATCCACCAATAGCAATTTCCAACTTACCCTATTATTAATTCGGCAAAAATACAATACACACGTGACGGTGAAGGACCAGATTAATGAATAAATGTTGACTATAACATACGAGTTATGTTGTTATTCTAATGAGTTTCACAGCCATCTTCCCTTCAATAGGCTATATGCCTAGCGTTAGGGTGAGGGGGGCAGATTTACGTTTAGGGACGGGCCATTACAAAAGTGAAGGGAGGGAAGGTGAATGAACAGAAAAAAGCAATGCATGCAATAACTCTTTATTAATTTAGATTATTAAAAATCTTTAAATAAAGAGAAAATCATATATAGTTATTCATCAAATTGAAGTTTATATTACGCATACGAACATACCTGTCCTATATATTTGGGAAATTGATAATTTTGTAAATTAAAAGTGGTAATTGCAGAACGTTTCGTTCAACAATATGTAAAAAGAATTAATAAAATGATCGTGACCACTTTGAATACATTGGAAGTGGTCATTGTTAATTAATACGGGGCCAATCTCCCGTTGTAGGCTGTCAAAATAAAGATTATCCCGACGTTGCTCTAGAGATTGAAGTGAATCAGAAGGTACCCAAGAATTTTCAGACTTCTAGTCTGGATACTCTCCGGCTCGTCTGTTAGGTATTGTGGCAGATCACCCCACATCGAGGCTGCGTCACCAGAACCGGTCTTATTTTGGTTTCATAGCATGTTAAACCCACTTTAGTCGACAGATTTGCTCGACGTCACTTCCGAATGTAAAATAAGCGTTTGTTTGCTTTCTTTGTAGTTTGTCCAATGTGGGTGTTCAATTTAAGGCTATTATTAATCCAAAGATAATACGTATACATCTATGATTCGGAATATTGACCGCATGACGCAATACGATACAGGTTTCGAGTGCAATTTTGAAAACGTATACACGAATGAGTTTTTCCGGTAAAGACGCAAGGGAACATGCATGCAATGATTTTCTCGTTTATTATGCAGCCAAAGGCGTCAAGTTACAATTGCGTTGCCGTGCAGAACATGCTACATGTGCAATTTCTTCTCTCGCGCCGATAAGGCTGTTACGGAGTTATAGAATGTAATATATTTTGGGCCCTTCATCGTTTATTTCATTTTAACCAGTCATTTTAATTCTTCATCATTTTCAAGGTACTTTCAAGCGATGCATTAGAAACAACCTCGTCCCCAGGGCCTTTCCTCTGGGCGAGGGGAGAATAGACCCTGGTAGACGCTGGTCATGTGATCTGCTAAAATCTAGCAGATTTTAATTAGCAATCCAAGATGAGGTTAATAAATATTTGATATTTGGATAATTTTTATAGTTTATATTTATAATTTGCTTTTTGTATGATTATTGTAAAGGAATCCAAGATAGTTAATTAGAAATCTGCTAGATTTTAGCAGATCTTGTTACCAGCGTCTACCTGGGTCCTGGGAATGTTCAATGTTCAATATTTATTCATTTAATATAGGTTGATATTTACATAAATTAACACACCCGCAAATAGCATAAGCTAGCTAATCTGGGCGGGTGTTGTTATAGGTGAGATATTAATAACATATAAATGAAGTACAAAAAGATATTTTTGGGTTTTTTTTTATAAAGATGGGTAAAAACTGTTTCCAAATATTGATATAAAGTTGTCATGCCTTGGATAACTAACTGAAGTCGGTCGTATAAATGTTCGTATATTCACTTTAATTATTTTTGAATTTTGGTAATCCTATAATTTATTTCACAAATATCAACATAAAAATCCGCCTCGACAAGAACTTGCAAGATAATTCGATGAATACTTTTCTTAAATAATATTAAAGATTGTTTACGTAAGTTGTCAGGAATATTATTCCATATTTTCGTACCAACACGGGAAAAAGAATCCCTCTGACAGTTTAGTCTCGAATATTGATAATAAAAGTTTTCAGCTTTTGATGCTCTAGTGTTATAAGAATGGATTGAGCTTATCCTCTTAAACAAGTTGGTTATATTAGGAGGAGTTAAATTGTTATTGATATGGGAACGAGGTTGCATTAAAATTGGGGAGAAAATTTCGTGTCATGTGCACTTTAAAACAATTGAACTTTATTTTAAAGAGCCATAACATTTGGTTGTACTATGGGATCAGTCCTTAATTACAGCCCACAAGTCCGCCTTACCTGTAATGAATGACCGGTCTTTAAGCTAATTTCAATGAATGTGGGTGTCAAAATATACCTCTAGATTGAATTTTCAATGGCAGCTAACGATTACCTGACATTGTAAATCTTCCAACATGCACAGCTATTGCATTTTTTGGGACACCTTATATTTGTATTGTGACCAATGTCTTCGGCTATAAACATACCCTTTTTATTTCAGATAGATAAATAGATTCTAGGCTACATAATGTAAACAGTTAGATTCTTGGGGCACCACGTTCGCGATAGAACTAATAGTAGATGTTTTTTCTATAGATCGATGAAGTATTCGAACGCAAATTTACGTACGTTTCTAGACCTAACCAGGTGCTGTTGCAAAAGAATACAATTATAGGCCTTCTGCATGGCAGGAACCAAACCTGCATGCATGCCCCCAAGATAGTTAGCTCAAAAACTCTATATTTACACATATAGTGATACCTTCTATTGGCATCATTCTATTATATGTGGCTATATGCATGGATCTGAGCTCAATGCCCAGCAACTGAACTCTGTAGCTTGAGTTGGAAAGAACACTGCACCGGAATCACAGGGCCGCACGTGGGGCTTGTAGTTGCATTTTTCTCAACTACTCTTGGTCAAGTCTAAAATGTATATAAATTTGCGTTCGAATATTCCATGCATCTACCAAATCCCAACAACTAAATAATATATACAGTACATCTATAATACTATATATACATACTGATATGAATCGTGAAAATCTACAAAACTATTAAATGCAGTATCCTTGTACGGTGTTAGTAACATTCCACACCTGCATCTTCATAATGGTAACAATTATGTTTATTCCATTCAAGGTGAGGGCAATCCCAAATATGGGACTCCTTACCAGAGCAATTAACATCATCCAGCAATATGGGACCACTTCCTTCGCCATAGTGAGCAGAGCTCTCTACCTTTTTCGCTCCAGTGAAACCCAGTTGACGGCATGTTACGTTACCGTTTGCAATGTGCCATGTATCATCACAGACCGTACCCCAGCCAAAGTTTGGATGACAGATTTCAACTCTTCCACTCCAATTGTTACTTGAACCATTTAATCTGATTTTTAGTTGAGAGGCGTCTGTAAATGAAAACAAAACACAAGGCCAAATGTCCAGCACTCAGCAGATTTATGAAAATGAAAGCATATGCGAAACGTTGTAGAAATGAATTTTCTCTTATTTTCTGGTAAGACGTATAGACGAACAAAAATATAAAATAAAGTAGGGTCATGACCTTCTTGAAGAGATACAAGGGTTAAACATGCAACATGGTGTAGTTTAGTGTTAGTTACACAGAAGCGTGTTAGTTACACACATGGAGCATGTTTGGGAGGGGAGCGCAGGTAGAGAACTGGCTTGCGAGGTTGGCAAGAGTTCTGTCCGCGTTTTTGACGGTATATTTCCTGAAGCATGCCTGATCAATGCAGCGTGTTTTTCTCTTTGTCCTTACTCTTTTTTATCAGTTATATTGCAGTTTGACTACATATAGGCTATTAGCTATAACATGTTGTTAGATACAGTATGCATAGTAAAGGTACGCAAAGCAAAACTGATGAATCACCTTAATACACATATTTTTAGACCTGAGAAGCAAAACTGATGAATCACCTTAATACAAACATTTTTAGACCTGAAGGCCCTATATACTAGAAATCCAATTTTGGGCAATTTGATAGGGTACAATGTTCTGATCACTGAGCTGTACAGTGTTCTGATCACTGGTCGGATTGCCAGGTAATAGGTATTCTTATTTATTTAGAAGATTTCATGGTTTCACATTGGTCAACTGCGAACTGTGAAAACCTCGTATCAACTCAATAGCTGATCATGAATTTTTCATATCGGCATTATGACCTCATATGCTCTGGAAATACGAATGCGAAATGTTGCAACACGACCAAAACAATATGGTGCCACCTTTAGTTTAATGGAAGTGCATTTTAAAATATAATGAAGAAATATCAACGAAAGCGGGCATCTTAATTAACGTACTTATGAAAGAAAAAGGAAAAGACTTTCTGCAAAATAGGAAAAAGAAAAATTGGTCATTATTTCGACGAACTGAACCCACAGATACCGATGGGTTTTTATCTTTTTAAATAATAATAAAAAACAATTCTTCATATTATTCTCAACATCATTCAATAATTGTTGAATATACATTTCGTGCAGCCAGTGCAGGTCTGTGGATAAGCACATTCCTGTCATTTGAAAAAGGTTATACCGAGGTAATTTGTGCCTGAACATTGTCATTGCGTAGTCAGCAGGTCAAATGTCATTTAATATATATATTTTAAAAACTCATTAATTAGGAAAATACAAAAGAAATGAATGTTTAATCAATGTTTGTAAATCAGATAAAGATTTGTCCTCATTTACATAAACTTCAGCTTTGATTTTCTCGACTTTGACAATGTTTATTTTTAAAATTACTTCGCCAATGAACTCGTAAGATGGGTCGTTTTTTTAATTAAGCACGTTAATTCGGCTCGAGTTTATATATCAGATAAAGATCGGCTGCTAGTACATATCATTTTACACTACCGTACGAAGCAATTTTGTATTGGGGGGCTTATTAGTCAGGGGCGATTATTAGGTCATTATTTCCCTCTCAAACTTTACAGATTATCGCTAGTTGACAAGTTATTGGAGGGGACTGTAGCCCCCCCCTCCCTCCCCGGTGTCTACGGCCCTGTTTTGTACATTATATTATTGTGTATTTCACTTACGAGTACAATCTTGGTTTTCATTTGCTTTCCCGACTTGCTCTGCATCACTTTCACGGGTCAGCTAGGAAGAGATTATAGATAAGTCATACTATTATAATAGTCTTACGGTCATTTTTTTAAAACTTGTGGGATGCACTAGGGTAAAAATTTTGAATTACTCATAGAGCAATTTGTTGAATTGTTATGTCGATGCTGTAATGCAGCTATACTATATGAATTTAGTCCTTTCGAGTTTCGGTTTGGGAAAGTGTATAAAAAAGTAGACAATTTTGAAACGGCTCTAAATTTCACAAATCCGTTCATTTCATGACATTTTTTTTAAATATAGATTGTTTGGGTACTTATAATGTAGAATGAACAAAAAAAGTTTCGTAAGCAAGGATAAATTTTCCAGAGCAGGGGTGTCTTTTTCAGCAGCACTAAAAATAGCTTGCGCGCGAAATTTAAATTAAAAGTTTAAAACGCATTTTGAGTTTATCGATGGTCCAAATGGTCCAATCAGAAAATTTACTCAATTTTAAGTCCTTTAAATAGCTGCTGAAACTTTCATTTTTGGCATGCATTTACCTAATTTGCATTCCGAGGAATTCCTCTGAACGATTCCTCAACAATTTGACAAGTTCCTTAAAAAGTTCCCAACTTCCAGTTTCATTGACCAATCAGATTTTATATTTTATTTTTGAGCAATCTGATTGGTTAAAAAAGGAAGTTAGGAACTTTTTAAGGAACTTATCAAATTGTTGAGGAATTGTTCAGAGGAATTCCTCGAAGTTAGGAAATGAATTGATCAACATTTTTTGCGCAAGCTATTTTTAATGCTGCTGAAAAGACCCTCCGCCCCCCGCCTACTCTGGAAAAATTTTCTTTACGAAAATGTTTTGTTTATTCTGCATTATAAGTACCTAAGCAATCTATGTTTATCAAAAATGTCATGAAATGAACGGATTTGTGAAATCTGTTTCAAAATTGTCTACTTTTTTAAACACCATGCAGTGACTACTATAAATACTAAATGCGTGCTCAGCTGCCTATACTATTATTATATGCAAGGTTGAAATATATTTACCTTTCTCTACGCGACACTGCCATGCATTAGCTTACCAAAATTATTTTTAAAATTTGAAAGGTGAAAAACATATTAGTTTTGAAAATATTTTGGTAACGCTCGACGGTTATATAGAAACACGCTTCTTGACCAATCAGCTCTCCCGTACTATAAATATTGTAGCTATATATTATAATAATTTTTTTTTACTCACAGTTTCAAGATCTTGATAAAATGTCCACTCTCCATTTCTTTCAACTTTTCTTTCTGGAGCTTTATTGCTGAGTTGACAATTTACAACGTATTTATTTGATTTAGTTCGATAGTTGTAACCCGAGCATGTTGATTTTTGAAGACACCTCAAGGAACATTCAACTTGAAAATGAACAGCGTGACTGGATATAATATCATCTGGCGGCAATGTATCGCCTGTTAAGGTTTTATCAGAAAACGTATTGACTTTATTAAAATCATAAAATCTCAAGAACGTGCTTGTGTTCTCATGTCCAAATATATATCCTTGATCAGGCGTCCCAGGAAATTTTCATGTCGAAATTATTTCTGCTTTTAATAAATATAAAGTCAAAAATTATGCTAGATTATTATGAACCTGCATAACGGCATTATTATCTAGTGTTGACTGTTACAAATTTGCATGTCAAAAGACGAATGTCGCTTTGCAAAGGCGTCCGATTTCGTTCGGTGCCATGAAGTGTACTACTTTCGCGACAACATATTACCAATTCTTAATTAACCATGGTGACCGAGACGTGCTGCAAAGACGTGAAGCTCAAGCCTCAAAAGCACAGCTGGTTGTAATTTAAGGTGTCTCGATATATTAATACTTACGAAATCCTCCATTATTCAGGCAGATAGAGGATCAAAAATGAATGAATACTCACCGTATCGGGGGAAAATTCCATTTTGCCTTAAGGTAATTCCGCAGTAATTGTTCCCGAACTGAGAATGTGCTGAAACTTCCCAGGCATGGAGTTTATGATATACTTAAAGTAAAATCACACAAAAAAGTCGGGGTCACCGAACTCGTTAAGAAGATATGACAATCACAATATACCAACTTTACCCCAATATGGCGCCATCCTGACGCTCATTACGAGTAACAGCAAAATCACAACAGCCCGATATTTATTGACGTTTTTAGCGCGGATTTTGCTTTAGTAAACCTATCTTGTAATTATTTTTGAAAAAATATTGTGTTTTGAGCAAAATGAAACTACTAACGTGTATGATTGTGATCCACAAGTGTCTTTTCCACATTTCTTTACATATCTTTCTTTGAGAACATGCATTGATAAAGGATTTTTTGTGATAATGGCGGGCGTGCTTAGATTTGCTCTGTTAATATCTGTTCTGTTGATCGTTGTTAAAAGCTGCTGCAGTGTTAAAACAAGTATAGCACTAAAGAGTTTAACATCTTACTTGAACTGGACAACGGAATCGCATTGTAGAAACATTTATAACAGAAGAATTAAACCTAATATCGAAATCGTATACTCGTGGACAGTATTGAATCGCTCGAAGGCAACAAGAACTTGTCGAAGAAAAACGGGAAAATATATCGGAGGTAATCTACTATATTATCCTAATTCTGTTAAAACTACGCGATTATTTACACTCCAACTATGTGGAGATGTCGAACTAAACCCGGCCCTGTAACGAAACATCCATGCAAGCTAGGACCTCAGTCCCGTAGAACAATTTATGGAAAACAATCGCCTTAACAATACATCATATATTCTACACTTAAATTCCAGAAGCTTGTTACCAGTTATAGATCAGGTTCGTATTCTGTTTGATGAAAGCAAACCTCTGATAATAGCCATTTCTGAAACTTGACTTAATAGTACTGTTGCCGACCTTGAAGTCGACATCAATGGATATAAAATCGAACGTTCGGACAGAGCGTCTAGAGAAGGTGGAGTTGCTATATACTTTCGAGACGGTTGTAAATTTAAAAGAAGAGCTGACTTAGAAGACCCGAATATCGAAGCTATATGTGTTGAACTTAAAATTGGCAAAGTGTGTCATATATTAGCATGCGTTTATAGAGCTCCGAATTCTGATTACACTAATTTGTTCGAATACCTAGACGATCTAGTTCGAATAGCTACGGCAAAGGGTTTCGAAATAATCCTTATTGGCGACCTTAATTGTGATGTCAGTAATCCGGTTCTTCCGCAGACAATAGCTCTGGAAGAGTTTATTATTTCAAACCAACTTAAACAATTAATTACCGAACCTACAAGACAAACGATTTTTTCAAAGACCCTAATTGATGTTTTAATTACCTCCTGTCATGACACGTTTACATACAGCGGAATAGTTGAAATTGCAAACAAAGGGAGAAGGGAAAACATCGTTTTTTTTCATACCGTCGAGTCGATGAAAATTGCTCTCAACCTTTTGTTCAGGCTATTAATCAAATCCCCTGGAGCCTAATAGACATTGCGGACGATCCAACTAGCAAATTGTCAATTTGGGAAGAATTATTCATGCTTGTAATGAATAATTTTTTTCCACTTAAAAGGAAAAGAATTAGGAAAGATACATATCCGTGGATTAATCGTCAAATACTTGTCTTAATGCGAAAACGTGATCGGGCGAAGAAAAAATCATTTAAGAGTAAATTAGAAGACGATCAGTATATTATTTATAAACGTTTAAGGAATGAAGTCACTAGTGCTATTCGAAAAGCTCGGATACATTATTTCAAAGAGAAATTAGTTAAAACTGCTGGAAACCCTAGTGCTGTTTGGAACCTTATGAAAATAGTACTACCCTCAAAGCGCAAGGAGAAAGAAATTGAAAAACTAATTATAGACGAGAACGAAATTAGGGATACCAAAGAGATTGCTAACTGTCTTAATTCGCATTTCACAACAGCTGCATCTCATTTAATGTTTATGAATTACAGCGAAGAAGAAAGTTCGACTCTAAATACGCCAGAAGTCCCCCCAATAGAAACGATACTATACAACCTGCGACGGAGATGCCTCACTTTGAATTTCATAGTATTCCTGAGAACGATGTAAATTTAATGTTAAAGAACTTAAAACCAAATAAAGCTGCAGGGAGCAGATATGATAGCTCCAAAGATACTTAAAATTGCTGCTGACAGTTTATCACCTAGTATAACATCCCTGATTAACTGTTCTTTAATAAGTGGGTCCTTTCCAGACCAATGAAAAATCGCGAAAGTTATCCCGAGTTTCAAAGGCCAGAAATCATACGAACGCGATAATTATAGGCCAATTTCCCTATTACCATGTCTGTCCAAAATCTTTGAATCTGTAGCAAACTTACAAATGAATGAGCACCTTACTGCTTTAAATGGCACAAATGAATCTCCTCAATTTACATATACTAGAAATAGCTCGACTACAATTGCACTGATCAGAGTTACCTATTCTTGGAAGTTGGCAATCGATCAGAAAAAATACACTGTAACCGTGTTCCTAGACCTGAGAAAGGCCTTCGACATTAACCACGACATCCTCTTAAATAAGATCAAAGATCTCGGTTTTGGTATTAGGGCCACTCGATAGTTTAAATCCTATCAAACGGACAGACAACAATACGTTTATTGTAACGGAATGGAGTCGGAAACCAGAAAGATCACCAGTGGCGTACCCCAGGGCTCTGTCTTGGGACCGTCGTTATTCAGTGTATACTACAACTCGATCGCGGACTGCTTCGTTCATTCTGAAACTATACATTATACGCTGATGATTCTGAAGCGCATTGCTCCCACTTTTCTGTACATGGTGCTGAAACAGCAATGAACAATGATCTTCAAAACATTGAACAGTGGTTGAAGGCGAATAGAATGATTGCGAATATTAAAAAGACCAAAACAATGTTAATCGGTTCGCGCCCTGCTCTTAGAAAGGCTGAAGCTGAAAATATACAGATACATCTTTTTAACAACAAAATAGAAGAAGTAACCACGTTCGATTATCTGGGTGTTCGAATGACTGATACCCTATCATGGAAACCTCATGTTGATCGGTTATGCCAAAGATCTTATCCCAAATTGAAATTACTAAATCGTGTTTCAAGCTTTTTACCTACAGCTGTTCTTCTTAGAATTTACAAACAAACAATCCTGCCTATTATCGACTATGGTTAAATCATATGGCAGGATTGCGAGTCTGTTCTCTCCAATCAAGTTGAAAAAATCCAAAATAAAGCTATGAGAACAGTCTTGTGTGCTAATAGAACCTGCACGCAAGAAATGCGAAATCGTCTTGATCTCTTAACTCTACACAGTAGACGACGATTTCTAAGGAATATTCTAGTTTTTAAAATTGTGAAAAATATGGACATTCCTAAGTATCCTAACAATTATCTGGTCTTAAGAAGCTCATTAAGAGAAAAATCCCTCCGTGATCAAACTTTGATAGATATACCTAGAATAAACACCTCACTAGAGCAAACTATGTTTAAAGTCGCTGCAGCACGTGATTGGAACTTGCTACCGAAATGTATCAGAGATATTAAAGTTCTCGGCAGCTTTAAAAACAATGCTTTTAAACATTTTTTAGAATTAGACAATTCTACATATAGGTGTAGTTTGTAATCTTTACTGATTATTGTAATATTGTATATAAACGTATATATATGTAAGTATTCCATAACTGTAAATACTGTTCACCCGGGTAAGACCAGCTTTAATTAGCTGAATGGGTCTCACAGTTTAAATAAAGATTATTATTATTATTATTATAAGATCCAGAAATGACTTTTCCTTTAATTTCGGATATGAAATGTAAATGCATTAAAGAAATAAATTATCAGTTAAAAAAACGGGAGTCACGAATCTTTTTAGGGAATTGTGGCATTAAAACGTGAAATACAAGTAAACTGAATATACTACAACCCTACAGTAGCTACACTTTTGTATGCTTTTTTTGAAAACATTGATTTTAACGTAATTCTTTGCACCAAAGATGTAACCAAAGATGTTTTGAAGTAACATAAAATTGTCATAAAATGATTTTTTTTTAAATGGTACGTATAATGGATGAAATTATAAGTTATAAGATGTGCGCAATAAAAGTGCGCAATGCAAAACTGCTTAATTAAAATAATTAAGGCTGGCAAGTACATTACTGTATGTCGGCGGCGGCTCCTGCATGTCAATACGTTTTTCTTGCATTTTAGTATTAACCATTTTACTAGTAGAAAATTATACATGCATGCAGAAACCCTCGCCTTACTGACAAAACATTATGTTTTCTGAATATGAAGAATTGAAAGTAGTTGTCATGGTAACACAATAATTTTAAGAATACTTTTAAAATTGAAAACCCCCCCAAAATATCACTTTTAATAACAAAATTATCAATTTCCCAAACATATATACGCTAGGTATGTTATTATACGTAATATAATCTTCAATGGACCTTTCCCCTTATAACTAAAATTTTGATCTAGACAAAAATTTGCGAAATGTTGTAAAATGCGGATAATATAGCCTTGCGAAGTTTGCCGTTTTTCAGTTATTTTGTATTACGCATGGGAAATTGACAGCCCAATCGGGTGTTGGGGTATCAATCTATATCTGCCTGACTATACACAAAATGTGTAAAGGCAAAGCAATATGCTATACGAAGAAGCTATAGGCTCCCTGGGAGAAATTTCGACCGTGCAGCGAGCGCTTTATCCAAATGAACTACAGAGTCCAGGTGTCGAGCGGGTTCGATTCCAACCAGAGAACCTATAGTTGTTCCTGGTTAGATCTATATTGGCAGTTAACCTCGAAAGGAACTTTTTCTCTTAATCTAAAATTTTAATAGCTTATGCTGAATTTATAAATAAATAAATAAATGATAATGTAAAACATTTAAACTCGAATTTTCCATCTACAAAAAACCTTCCATGCACAATTAGGTCTCTGGCTCTATCATTTATAAATATTCCTTATAAATATTTGTTTACATAATGGCTTACAAATGGGGAAAAAGGAATAAAATGCATCCCTTTTCGGCAATTCCATGCAGCTGCCGATGTACTGAAGTAAAAAATGACACTGTTTTGAATTAATATATTACACTTACCCTGACTTTTTAGTTTCTTGAAGTATATTTGACGTTTCGGAGACGATTCTGTCCGCTTGCATTGGCTAACAGCGAAGAAACAAGCAAGTAATTTTAACAACAAAACGTTTACGATCATGGTATTCATCCTGACACCTCGAATGGCGACTCAATTATGATTGATTATAAGTGAAATTTGCAGTTAAATAAGGAAGTTAAGTTGAACAACATGGCAGGTGGCTCCCACGCAAGTACATAATTCAGAAAGGCTTGTACAAAGATTGTCATGTTTGTTATGAGAAATAGCACATTCTGCTATTTCACAAACTGAAGACAACACAGGACAATTAAAATAAATAAACATATATTGAGTATGGACGTTCTCTGGTTAGAAGAAATTATTTTTACAAGCTTTCGACTGTCAGTCTACCGTCTTCAACGGGTAGATTATACAAACGACAAACGACACAAAGTTAGTAGGTACTGCACAAACCCTCTTACACTGTTACACAGAGCAACAAGACTACCCAATACTGATGAAGGGAAACAACAAGAACGTAAGCGCGTATCCATGAGACCTTACTATTAAATGGATATACCCCCAGAAATTCTTACAAGAAGTCGAAAAGAAACGAGTTATGATGCAGGAAAAGTACGTCCACCTGAGGAACTAGTTAAGGAATTTTTCAACCTCGTAGAGCCACAGACCAGCTACCGTTATGCCGTACTTCCCGACCCTATATTAAAGGCCTGACAGGACCACTTGAACAAATCTTGAAACTCCATGACATCCGAGTAGCAACGAAACTTCTCCGCACACAACAGCAAGTCAGCAACTATTCCCTTCGCCCAAAGACAGACCACCATCAGAAAACCAGATTAAAGTCGTTTACAAAATCAACTGTAGCGACTGCTCATGGAGCTACATTGGCGAAACCGGCAGAGCATTTAACACAAGGCGAACGAACACATAAAAAAATGTTGAACTTGACAATAGTGGTTCAAATATTGCTAACTGTTATTTGCTTCTCACTTTCATTAACTTTTGATAGTTTTATTTTTTATAGTATAATTCGCATAATATAAACTCATAACATGCATATACTCTATCTCTAAAATCCCGTGTTCTACACCTATTTTCGCGCCCTTTTCCTTCGTTCCCAGTTTTCCCTGTCCGAGCAAATATAACTAAAATTTTAATGTCAACAGTAAATGTCCAACATCTCCTCTTCTCTGAAAGTTTTTTCTTTATAAATATACCGTATATATAGCGCGTTCCCTTATGTGTCTATACCTAGCCTGTCAGGTTTTTTAACTAACCGTCCACTACGGGACATGCTTGTAGAACTTGTTTCGGTACTTGTTTCATTGCGTTCTAAGTGTGCTGGTTGAGGGTTTTCTTGGGGCAGATCATTGTCAGTAGGTACAGAAACGTTCTCTTCCGCTTCGGACATGTCTGACATCTCTTCATCTGCGTTGTCACTACCGAATTCTGCAGGTAACCTTGATCGTCGGATGAATTTTCTGTTTCTAGTATAGGTATACCCTTTGCATTGGACTTCATATGATCTTATCCCGGCTTTGCGTATGACTATCCCTCTCTTCCGTTTCTTTTCGCCGATTCGGGTTGGCTGTAGTCTCACCACTTCTCCTTTCCGCAACGGGCTGAGCTCTTTTGCGCCATGATCGTGGTATTTCTTTTGGAGCTATTGTCTTTGTTGAATGGGTTTGTTTGCTTGCGAATTTATCTTCGGTTGGAGCAACTTCTCCGAGACGGGCAAGGGAGTCTTTGTACGGCGGTTAAACAGTCGTTGTGCGGGGCTTGTTTCATGGGTTGTTTGGGGGGTGTTTCGGTGGGCAAGAAGGGCAAGATAAATGTCATCGTTTGATGATTTGCATGTTCGAATTATTCGTTTGGCTTGCTTGACGGCAGATTCGGCTTTGCCGTTGGATTGGTGGTGATAGGGACTGGTCGTTATATGCTCAAATTGGTACTTCATAGAGAAGTCTCGAAAGTCATCACTGATGAATTGTGGGCCGTTGTCTGTCACGAGAGTATTTGGAATACCGAACCTGGCGAAATGGGGCTTTAGTTTCTTTATGACTGCCAGTGATGTCAATTTTTCAAGCCGGTCAACTTCGAAGAAGTTCGAGTAGTAGTCCACTGTTACTAAATACGATTTCTTTTCAAATTCAAAGATATCACAACCGATTTTTGCCCATGCTCTCTTTGGTATTTAATGCGGGATGAGAGGTTCTTTCGGCTGCTTGGAATTGAATGTGTCACAGGTGATGCAATGTGAGATGTGGTCTTTCAATTCTTGATTCAGGTGTGGCCAGTAGACGGTTTCTCTGGCTCGCCGACTTGTCTATGCGATCTCTTGGTGTGCTGCATGCAATTCATTCAGCACTTGCTTTCGTAGTGATTTTGGGATAACGACGCGCTCTCCCCTAAACACGAGGCCCTCTTGTGTTGTTAGTTCATCTCGTAGATGGAAGTACGGGGTGATTGTTGGAGATAGATCTTTGGAGCTTCCGGGCCATCCTGACTGGATGAATGATTTGACTTGCTGTAGGTCTTGATCTTTCGTTGTGTGGTCTTGGAATATGGTTGTTGTTACACAATTTAGTATTTCTTTGATTTCTTCCAAACTGTCCACTTGGTCGAGATCGCTGTCGACGCTGCGTGCTTCGTCGGTGGAGTTGTTTAAATGGTGACGACTGAGTGTGTCAGCTAGCAGCATCTCTGACGCTTTCTTATAAACGACGGTTGGGTCATATTGGTGTAATCTCATCATCATCTTTTGAAGACGTCTAGGTGCTGCTGACAGAGGTTTCTGATGAATGACTTCGAGCGGCTTGTGGTCTGATTCTACTGGGACAAGTCGGCCATATGTATACTGGTGAAAACGCTCGGTTCCATAAGCTATAGCTAACAGTTCCTTTTCTATCTGAGCGTATTGTTTCTCCTCGTGCGTCAATGCTCGGCTGGCAAATGCGACAGGCTTTCCCTCTTGAATGAGTGCGGCCCCCCAGGCCGTGGTCGCTAGCGTCACACTGTATTATCAGGGGTTTGGTCGACTCGTAGTACTTGAGGACTGGCGGTTCTGTGATCAATTTCTTTATTTGGGTGAAAGCGGCGTCATGCGATTTGTCCCAATCGAAAGGCTGATTCTTTTTGTGAGTTGTCGTAGTGGTTCAGATACTTGTGAGAGGTGGGGAAGGAACTTGGCAAGATAATTAACTGTTCCGAGGATTCTTCTGACTCCAGCCACGTCTGTGGGTTGCTTCATTTCTAGTATGGCTTGTACTTTAGCAGGATCCGCTTGGACACCGTCAGAGGTAAGAATGTGGCCAATGTATGGCATTGAGGTCTTCTTCAACTCAATCTTGTTTGGGTTAAGCTTGATATGTTTAGCTCTGCAGCGGTCGAATAGTTCCTTGAGCTTTCTGTCATGGTCGGCTACAGCTTCCTGCATCGTCTCTCCATTTCCTATTACTAAAATGTCATCAGCAACAGTCCGTTCACCATCCAAGTCATCAATTGCCTGGTCTAGTCGTTGCTGGAAAATCTCTCCTGCAGGGGAGATCCCGAAAGGCATCCGTTGCCATTTAAATCGTCCAAACGGAGTGTTGAACGTCGTTAAAAGAGACGACTCTTCGTCTAATTCTACTTGCTAATATCCGTTGCTACAGTTGACTTTGGTAAAGACTTTTGCATTGGACAGTTCTGGAAGTACGTCGTCAATTGTCGGTATTGGATGGTGGCATCGTTTCAGCGCTTTATTGAGTGGTCTGGGATCGAGGCATAATCTAATTTTGCCATTGGGTTTTGGTGCAACAACAATTGCGCTGACCCAGTCTGTTGGATAGTCTACTCGTTCTATGACCTCAAGCTTGACAAGTTCGTCCAAATATTCTCGGAACGGTTGCTTCAGCGACTATGGGATTTTTCTTGGCGGGAGTTGGACACGCGACATTTCAGGATCAACTTCAAGATGCAGTGCCAAGACCTTGAAAAACATCTTGGTATATGTCTTTGACGTTTTGCATTGTCAGTCCCATTTGATCAGGCCGAGTCAGGTCTTCATTAATTTGATCGACATGAATTGGGCTCCCAATTTGAATCAAATTCATTGGTTGGCAGCCAAGAAGGTTACTTTTTGCATTCTGGTCATCAACAACAGTGAATGGTACTTTGAACTTTTGCTTTGTAATTGGATCTTGTACTTGTATTTTGCACTTCCCAAGGGGTGTGAGTGATGAGTTGTTGTACATCTTTAGAACATGTGCCGTAGGTTTGATGCGCCGTTCATATTTAGTGCCTTTTAATTCACTCTTTTTTAGGACATTGCAGGTTGCCCCTGTATCGATTTGAAATTTGGTTGTGTTCCTCCCTTTTATTTTCGGTTGGTGTATTGTATTGATGGTATCATTCTCGGTGGCGTCTAGTTCGACAGTCTTACTGCGTGAAGTGGCTTTTGGCGGGAATTTCTGCATACAAACTTTGGCGAAGTGATTTTCGCGACCACAATTCCGGCAGCGGCTTCCAAATGCAGGACATAATTCCTTTTTTCGTTGGTGCATTGTTCCACAATATTTGCATTTAATTTTGTTGTCACGCCCCCCGTCACGCCTATCAAGTCCGACACGCCTGTCATCGCGTCTTCCGGTTCATGTGCTTCCGGTTCCTGTGCTTCCGGTTTCGGTTTTGTTGTTTACAAGGGCGTTGATTTCGCCCTCACATTCAGGGCTCTCACAATCAAATTTAAGAATTCCTTAGATTTGCCTAAAAAATTCTCAAAATTTCGTCAGATTTCCGTAAAATTCCCTAGACAAACATAACATAGTAACATGAAGTATTTCCTTAACAATACCTAATTCACGTGGAAAATACACTTCAAAAATTAATAATTTATACAAAAAATATTAAGAATAATGATGTGTTTAATGTTTTAAACATGAGCGGTTTCAATCTCACGTTTTTCGAAGAAAACGAAGACGCGGAAGAAGAGTCCGGATCAGCCTGAAAAGAGTCAAAAGACAGCAAAAAAGGTATATGCACAGCAATTCAGACATCAGTGGTTAGAGGATCCAGAATTTAAGGATTGGTTGGTACGCCCGCGTCCTGGGGAAAATGCTTGCTCCTGCAAATTGTGCAACAAGTCAGTATCGTGTCGGAAGACTGCTCTTCGACGACACACTCAATCTGCACAACACAAAAGGGCACTTTCAGAGATAGCGGCTGGACAAAGACAAGGCAACCTTGTTGAATGCTTACAACGTCAAAACGAAATCACCACCTATAAAGAAACAACAGAGGCTCGAATGTGCTCCTTCCTTGCACAGCATAACCTGCCATTGAGTTTGATAAATAATTTGATGAGTTTGTTCAAGTCAGTTGCACCTAAAAATGGGAAAGAAGTCGAGATCCTCAAAGGGATCCATTTGTCATCCACACGGTGCACCATCATGATAGTCATGAATCAGCTGAATGTTTGTCACTTATCATTTTCAACACAAGTTGAACCAAATGTGCACAAAACCAGGCAAAAACAATTGAAACATAAGTTCCATGTACTTCCATCTAGCTAGCCTGCTCGCAGGCCGTTGTCAGGCAGAGACTGCATGGGAGGAACGGCCTGCGACCTTTTAGGCCGTATTCCCTGACCGCTTTTCGTTCAGTTTTGTTGCCCCCCTTCGGGCACTACTTTAAATTCACACGAATCTATACATTTTTATACGCTGAGTACGAATTCACTTGTTGTCACTCGCACAAACCTGCAGTTTTTTTGTATTTTACGATCAAACATCAACATATTTTATTAAAATTTCCGCCATTTTGTTCAGGAAACTTCATGTTATATACAATTATTGTACCAGTTCAAGTCTCTTAGCAGGGGGGTTGCACGCGGTATTACGCATTTTTATCATTCTTCTGAGGAAAATATACGTACAGAAATAAAAATATAGATATTTTTTCACAATATTAAAATGCAAAAGGTAATAATACATGTTTGTATATAATCAGGAACTAATCTACTATTCTTATTGCGCCAACTTTTGGGTTTTTGGCCTGACCTTGATGTGAAATTGCAAAGACTGTCACTATATGGTCTATATCCACAAAGACTCACTTGACTTGTCCTTGGTAAAGTTGTTTATTTTATTTATTACTGAAATTATGTCCATAATTTTAGCCTTACAATGTGAATAGGCAATTTTTCTTTCAAATTTTTGTTAACAATGAATAAGGAGCACAATATACTTGTTGTTTAATTAATAAATGTTAGACCTATTTGTTGTTTAGTATAAAATGTTAGACCTATAGTCACCTAGGTAATTTATTAACACAAATAGACCATTGCCCATTAGTAGCAGTTGACTTCAATCAAATTAGCTCATCCATTTAGTAAATCTGCACATAATGAGTTCCATCACAGTTAATAGAATAGATGGTTTGGCTGAAACTCTCAAACTCATTATTTATGTTAGTCAACGTTTATTCATAAATCTGGTCCTTCATCGTCATGTGTGTATTGTATTCTTGCCAAATCCACCATCTTGTATTCTTGCAATTTTCAATTTACCCTATTGTTCGAGTTACGGATAGGTAACTTTCCTAAGACATTGCTATTGGTTAGTTGGGCAAAAATACAGAGACCAGTTTTATGAATAAACCAGTGGTGTAACTTAACTTTTTTGACCATTTGCTTTCAGGGCAAGTTAATTGGACATGAAAATTAGTTGCCCTGAATAAAATTCATTTGCCAGGGGGTATAAATCAAGGGGGCAACATGTCGACTCATTCTCTATGTGGCTATGTTATACTGCCTTAGATCTAGCTTTGGCCCACAAAAAACAAAATTTGAATCAAGTACATGCGCCATAAAAAAATTATCCGATAATGAAAGCCAAGCTTTTTGTGGCAAGAGGCAACTTGCCCAATCGGGCAAGATAAAATGCTTACTTGCCCGTCATGATATTCACTTGCCCCGGCCAAGTGTTAAGTTACACCTCTGTAAACGTTGACTAACATACCTGTAGATAATCAGGTATATATATTGTTATTCTAATGAGTTTCCAAACCATCTATTCTATTAACTATGGTATGTTCCATTTTCTTGTATTATAATAAAATTTTTGCTATCATGACATTGAGCTTTGTAAAAAAAACTTTTGGAAGATGTCTTTCACTCTAAGACAGACTGACAGCTTACTTTTGGTCTGTTTATATGGCGTTAACCCAGCCTAGATTAGCCATATTTTTTTAATCACTTTATTGTTATTAAAGTATTTACATTAGCAAATGGTGGCCATACAGGACATAGCCCCAATTGATTACAGCTACAATAGCTTAATTGCTTGGTGTTTCAATTTATGTGACACTGTTGAGGCAAGCATATGCATGGGCTTGCTGGAACAAAGGTACTAAGCAAAAAATTATATTCACACAAGCAAATCTCAAAGTCATGCCACGTAGAGACATGAATTGGTCGAGCCATTTGAATTGGTTGAGCCATAATGAGGTTTAACAACATATTGTCATGATACATCCTCACCTTAATAAGCTCTAATCCTATTTGAGCTGCCACTCATTACCAAGCACTTGGAGGAGGGATACTTTATTAATTTATATTTGGCCAGGCAGGCACTAGAAATTTAATTAAAGTAATCTGGGATCACTATACCTACCAATATGCATTAGTTACACAAACCTTCTTTCCAGTTGGGCTAGCCTAGCTGCCTGGCCAAGACTCTTTTTTTCCATGCCTTAGATCTTGGATAACAGCTGGGCATTAAATAATACTCTATTCACATCAATCTATTGATGTAAATAACATTTCTTCATTTCCTTAGGGGGTACCCAAGCCAGCCGGATACCCGAGCTAGCTCGCTTTGCCAAGATCTAACGTCGCTATGTAATTTAAACTAATATTCATCTTGCATTTATATGGAACTGGGCTGGCCTGTCAAGGCAAGATCTTGAGAAGTAAAAAATATTATATTATACTATTTATAACAGTGATCTGTTTTGGCAAACCAGCCCGCCTCAAAAGTCTCTTACTCTCTTGTAAACATGGGATGAAATCAACTCGGGTTACTGTACCTGGGCTGGCTCGCCTAGGAGATTAGAAAGTTTCAAAGTTAAAATTTATTTTGAAATCTCTCTGAGGGATAAAACCTTCAAAACTTTATTGTTGACAAAAATTTCAGGTAGACAATACCCAGGAAAATTGCCTATTCATATTGCAAGGCTAAAATTATGTACATAATTTCAATAATAAATAAAATAAACAACTTTACCAAGGACAAGTGAGTCTTTATGGATGACAAGAACAGTAGATTAGTTCCTGATTATTTACAAACATGTATTATTACCTTTCGCACTTTAATATTGTGGAAACATATCTATATTTTTATTTATTTCTGTATATTTTCCTCAGAAGAATGATAAAAATGCGTAATACCGCGTGCAACCCCCCTGCTAAGAGACTTGAACTAGTACAATAACTGTATATAACATGAAGTTTCCTGAACAAAATGGCGGAAATGTTAATAAAAAATGTTGATGTTTGATCGTAAAATACAAAAAAACTACAGGTTTGTGCGAGTGACAACAAGTGAATTCGAACTCAGCGTATAAAAATCTATAGATTTATGTAAATTTAAAGTAGTGCCCGAAGGGGGGCAACAAAAATCGTTTTCTAAGCGACTTTTGGGGCCAGGGAATACGGCCGAGCCCCTATTTTCCTGACGATATGTTTGATACCTACAAACGCCGAAAAGTTTTTTCTTTTCATTTAGCTAAGCCCCTATTTTCCTGACGATATGTTTGATACCTACAAACGCCGAAAAGTTTTTTCTTTTCATTTAGCTAGCTATATTTGAAATAAAACATTGTGAGCCCCTATTTTCCTGACGATATGTTTGATACCTACAAACGCCGAAAAGTTTTTTCTTTTCATTTAGCTAGCTATATTTGAAATTGAGGCCACGGGCTATTTTTGAGAAAATACAGTTCAAAGTCAAGCTATTTTTACATATTTTCATTTCGCGAGCTTGTATTTTGAACTTAGTTATTTTGAAGTTACATTAAGAAACATAGGATGGAAAATTTGAGGCATATAAAGTTAATTTCAACTTACATTTCATTCTCATATCACGTCTTTCTTCGTTTATTACGGTTTTAATCAAGCCACAACTCGACGTATACGGTATTTACTCCCATGTTCACGTCGCCATATTCACTTCCTCCAATCGCTCGATTATAAAAAAAATCATCGGAAAACAAGGAATTCATGATCGAATTTTAAAAGAACAACCGTTAATTTGTAAAGCGTTGAATGGAAAGCAAAAAATCGCCAGCTAACTTTCTGCTTTCTGCTTGCTAACTTTCTGCTTTGTTTTGAATGTAAATGCAATAAGCTTTGTTTCTGCCCGCGATTTTTTGGTCAGCGACGACAAATTTCCCACCTGTTGTGTCACGAAGTATGGATACCATCAGAGCTAGCGAGAAAAAGCAATAATTATCATTATTATACATTTAATATGTATTCTCGTTTCTAATTGGTCAGAAAGCACCGGCTAATTTTCAGTATTCGGCATTTATTACGTATTTTCCGCCGATGACGTCATCAGCGTCCAATAATTGTTTTTTTGGATCGAACTTGCATCCAAAAAAACAATTATTGGACTCTCTCGTGCCCAAACCCTTGCGCGGCCAAAAGCTTGAACGTATAAGCGCGCGAAAAAAACAAACAAACAATGGCCTACAGCAGATTTGCTTCGCTGAATGAAAGTGAACTCTCCAAATTATTGGCAGATAAGGATAGTGAAAGCACGAAAAAAGCCACAAAGGGGTAAATAGAAGTAGAAATAGAATATTTAGCTGACCTTTGACTTTGTGCAAGGTGTTTGATATTCAAATTGTACTTTTCCTACCTCATGAACAGGAATCGTTTTATATGTTTCTCATGTCTTTAAATGTATAATAAAACAATTATTGGATTCGGCTTTCGCATGATATCAAGAATTATTCAGACCTCGGTCTATGTTATCCGCCTCAGCTTCGCTTCGGCAGATAACATTGACCTCGGTCTGAATAATTCTTGATATCATGCTCAGCCTCATCCAATAATTGCTTATTAGTACGATTTATCTATAGTGGCCGTGCGTCTTGTTTATATGCTAAAGTTTTCTACAACGTATCCCATGCATTCTCCTCTGTTCGTCAATAAAACACAACCTCCTTTGGACACTTAAAGGCTAGGCTCTTTAAATAGGCTACCTGCATGCATCGACGACATGAAGGATGTAATATGTCGGCTCGATCAACATTAGTTGAAGCGTTTTGTAGTCTATGTAAATTATCGAGTGCAAATATTTTACATTGTTTTGTTTACTTTTACGGGAACTGAAATACAAATTGTTTTAATCATATTTTCGTTGATTTTGGCCATTTTTGTTTTGTTGTGCAGGTGTATTAGAATTATTATGATTGTTAAATATTTAATTAAATTGATCTTTTGCGCATGAACAACGATCAATTAACGATGTTTTCTAGGTTGTAGTTGTTCCAAATGTAGCTGTACAGAACAAGGTACCTGGTGTACAAGGATTATTGTCGTTCAGGAAGGATGTAAGCCGACTTTACCTAAGATCAGGTTCTTCTTGGCGTAGAGTCGCTGATGAAAGCGAGGTAAACTGTTAGACAATAGGAAATCTATTATGTCTCCCTGGATCAAAACCTTATGAAGCGTTTCCTCTCAAGCCCTATTAGTAAATATTCCTTCAAAAAGAATAATTTTATATAGTCTGACAAGGTCTTTAATTACAACGTACGATTGTGCAGTTTTTAATAAGAATGAAGTTCCTGCATTCTGTGCACTTTCTGCATGACATGACCCTCCCCCCGACTTTCAAAGGGATGCATGCCCAACATAATTCTTTGTTCCTTCTCCGAGTTTCACGCAGTACTTTGTGAACACAATTTTGAGTAAAGTATATAGAATCAGATACAGATACAGATATTGCACAGCACACTCCCTATCAGGATTTTCAGTGACTGGTACATTAGAACCGGAACTGGCGTGAAGCAAGCCGAGGTAGACTGTGAGCTTACAAATGGCGCTTTAAGCAGTCGCTATTAGTCCATATCTCATTAATGATCTGCCCCCTGACCAATGTGTTTAACCCACCCTGTCAACTTACCCGGCAAAAACCAACGACTTTCGGCAGAGCGTTGACTTTTACTCTTTTCACACGAGGACCGGGTTCGAGTCACATTGAGGAGTTCTCACTGAGATTTGAACCTGCGACCTTAGAGGTGAAAGGCAAAGTGCGCTAACCACTTCGCCAACGAATATACCGATCATAGAAGTATTTTAACTATACTCTCGGCACTCGGTAAATCGACAATGTCGCTTCGTAAATCTGGTCGGGGAAGGAGCTTTCGTAAGTGAAATTAAAACTGAATGAAGATGTTGGAATAAGCTTACTCCATGATTTATCTATCAATATAACAAGGTGACCTTATTAATTTTGGACTTCGTCTTTTGAAGGCTTGCATAATTTCGTCCTTAAAATGCTATAATTATGTAACGAAATTTCGCACTATTTTTTATGACTACATTTTATTTGTAAAACATTCAAAGTAACTAATAAGATACTAATTCGGCAAACTATCTTAGCTTGTTTCTTTCTTGACTATTCTGAACAATGTTTGACATCACGTCAAATTGCATAATAGCTTTCTGAAAAAACGTTTATAAATCCTATAGAAAACTGATTCAAATTTGTCGGCACAAAACATGTATTTGTAGTATGTTGGCATAAAACATACGCATGGTTTTATAATTTCGATGGACGATGCTCCAAGATCTTGCGCATCAAAAATTGTTAAATATCTAATATAATAAGGTAAAATAGTTTGGCGAAGTATTTTATTTGCTCACTTTGAATTTTCTTTACATTCCGTTCGTATAGAATGTAGTACGCGATGCCTTTGTACTTTGTAACCATGATGCCTTAGTGATCCCATAATCATTCTTACATCCACTGTTGGGAACGAACCCAACCGAATGTCGTTTATATATAAAATAATAATCACCACGTCATTACACTTTATTTACTTTCAAATTTAGTTTATTCTAAGCAGTACATCATGACAAATATCTTGTACATATCAAATACCCATGCATCATTCTGTCCTCGATTCTGTCCGTATTTCGAATAATATTGGTCGTAAACAAAGGTTTGCTACATAGAATTACAAATAACGTTCATTAACAACAAGTTCAAGTGGTTCAAAGTCAAAATGAAAGAAATACTTACATCTTATGGCGATTTTAAAGCAGATTACGTTTGTATATCTATCACGAATATCAATAGTTTTCCAAAAAGCCTCGCTCGCGAAGACTGGCCCTAAATTAATTATGCTAATGTCAACAAACGGCGCGAAATAATTAGATTAATTATAGTAGCGTCCGTAACATCCCGGCCCCCCAATGAGCGTATCACGTTAGCTCATTTATCACCTTTATTCGTCAGCCTCCAGGAAGCACAACTTCTGAATTGGACGTTTCAAAACATTGTTTTTCGGTTTCACTTCGGCGACTCTGACAAGACCATCCTTTCCAGGAAACACTTTCGTCACTCTACCAAGTAGCCAATGTCCTCGTTGAAGATTCTCGTCTACTAGGAGTACAAGATCGCCAACTGCTAAATTTCGTTGTGGTGTAAGCCATTTCTGTCTTTGTTGTAAGGTTGGTAGATACTCATGTAACCACCGTTTCCAAAAATGATCGCTCAAAATTTGTGATTGTCTCCAACTCGTTCTGCTATACAAATCAGCATCGTCAAATTTTCCAGGAGGTAGAGTAATAGCTGGTCTTTGAAGTAACAGATGATTCGGAGTTAACGGCTCCATGTCCCGAGGATCGTCCGAGTTCGGGCACAGAGGTCTGGAATTGGCAATCCCTTGGGCTTCTGATAACACCGTTCTCAAGACTTCTTCTTCAACTAATGTCTTTCCTAGGATAGCCTTCAACGATTGTTTAACACCACAAATCAGTCTCTCCCACACTCCCGACATATGGGACGCTAATGGCGAGTGGAAAATCCATTCTACTCCGGTTTGTCTTAAATGCTCTTCAATCTGATTTTGATTCCACCTTTCTAAAGCTTCACGTTACTCGCGCTCTGCGCCCACGAAATTTGTACCGTTATCTGAACGCAGTTGTTTAACGCCACCCCGAATGTTTAAGAATCTTCGTAACACCATGATGAAATCATCGGTTTCCAGGGACTGGGCTAGTTCTAGATGTATGGCTCTCGAGGCCATACATACAAATATACATCCATAACGCTTGGCAGAACCCCGTCCGTGTTTTACCATAAGTGGTCCGAAAAAGTCAATGCCCGTGTTTGTAAAGGGAGGTTCGAAAGGAGTAAGGCAAACCTTAGGTAACTCTGCTATTTCTTGGGTTATCCGTACAGAGTATCTTTTCCTACACGGTATGCATTTGCTGATCACTCGTTTAATAGTCGCTCTGCCCTTAACGATCCAAAATTCTTCTCGAAGTCGAGATAACAACTGCTCTTGTTCGCAGTGTCCAAGTTGTTGGTGATTAAAACGAATTATCAAGGTTGTAACATGGTGATTCTGCGGTAAAATCATCTGATGTTTGCTGTCAAACGTGCTTGGTGCTTCTGATATTCTACCAGAGACCCTTAGGAGTCCGTTCTCGCCTAGCATGGGCTTAAGCTTCACAATCGAACTCGATTTCTTCACACGTTGACCGGTTTTATCCTTTCTTTTAAGATCTTGCAATTCTTCCGGAAACGACTGGTGTTGAACAAGTGAAACAATCGTTCGTTTCGCTAAAGTCAGGTCATCCACGGTTAAAGTATTGCATTCTAAACGTTTGCCATTTTTCAACCAAGCTTTGTACTTGCATAGCCAAGCCACATATTTATGTAGTTTCGACCAGTCCGAGTATCTTTCGGGGAGTTCATAGAGCAGAGGGCTTACAGTCGTCTGGAGGCGAGTTTCTTCTTTTTGATTTCCAGCTCGCTGTCGGGTATCTCTTGAATTGGCTCATCGGGCCATGTATCTCTGGGGTTCGAAAGGAACTCTGGACCTCTTAGCCATCGCTCTTGTTCTATGTATCGCTGAGGGTCCAAACCGCGAGAACAATTGTCCGCAGGATTCAAACTTCCTGGACAGTGTCGCCATTGACTCGGATCAGTTGATTCCCGAATTTCGTTCACTCGGTTAGCTACGTACGTTTGAAATCGTTTCGTCGTGTTGCGAATATACGACAATACTATCATACTGTCCGTCCAAAAGTACGTTTCATGTACGGTTATATCGAGCTCATCTTTAATTATCAAATTCATTCGTACAGCTAATAATGCACTTTGCAATTCGAGTCTTGGAATCGTGGGTGACCGAATGGGAGCATTTCTCGACTTTCCCATGACAAACGAACAGTTAATAGTTCCGTCGCTGTAGATGATGCGTAGGTACGACACGGTACCGTATCCAATCTATGAGGCGTCACAAAAATGGTGTAACTCGACAACAGCATCGTCATGATCTGGAAGTCGGTAGAAACAACGAGGGATGCTTATCTGAGTCATCAATGGTAAAAGTGATTTCCAATTAATCCATGATTTCAGTAGATCGTTCTCCAGGAAGTCGTCCCATTTCATCTTCCTCCTCCAACACACTTGGAGAATTTGCTTAGCAGGTAAAAGAACTGGTGCAGCAAATCCCATTGGATCATAAAAGGAGGAAACACATGAAAGCACACCTCGCATGGTATTTGGTTTGTCACAAGGTTTTATCTTGAAACAAAAGGCATCATCTTCGACGTTCCAGTGGACACCCAGCGTGCGTTCAATAGGAAGTTGGTCAAGACTTAGATCCAGGTCGGGCAAGACTCTCCTTTCAACAGGCACTGCCTCAAGAACTCTCCGACTGTTGGACATGAATTTGGTCAATTTAAAGCCTCCACGTGAAAGCAAAGACATTGATTGAACTCTTAGCTACTTTAATAGCAATTTCTTCATTCTTCAGGGCTCTCAACATATCATCGACGTAAAATGTCTTAAAACAGTGTCAGCGACAAGGTTATCAAATTCGCTCTTATTATCTTCGGCAGTCCTTTTAAGGCAGTAATTTGCACAGCTCGGCGAGTCTGTCGCCCCGAAAACGTGTACGGTCATAACGTATTCATCAGGTGGCTTGTCGAGACTTCCGCTCCACCAGAGAAACCGAAACGCATCCTGGTCGGCTTCTGGAGATACCTTCACCTGATCATGGATAATAAAATAAATGGATAGGAACTAGCTGACGTGACCTAATGTTTTTACTGGGATTGATGGCGTGGTTGGATGCCTCAACCTAGTTGAAATTCAAATTCTCAAAAACGGCATGTTTAGCAATAATACAGCTAAATATTTTAGTCAAAGAGCAAATAAATGTAACCACGCCATTCTGCGATGAAAACTCTAAGTATTCCCAGTCAATTTTAGCAAATATTTCAAACACTAAACAGTGAAAAATATATCGCAAATTTCGTTAAAAATTGTGACGCCAATTTCGTAGCTACAAATGTAAAAAAATACAAAACAAAGACGAAAAACATTTACCTTGAATACTTTGTCGTGGCTTAGGCATGTTTTTAAAACAATTAGACCAGTTTACGGTTCAAGATCACCCTTTTAAAGTGGAAAATATAGCAAAACAACAAATATGCCGAGAACTTTGGTAACATTCGCAATACGCGTGACGTCACGTTTTTCAACAAGGATGCAGTCAATGACGTCAGAAGTTTCCAATCCATTTATTTTATTATCCATGACCTGATTGAACATACCTTCAATGTCCGCCACTAGGGCAATGTTATCCTGGCGAAACCTTATAAAAACACCAACGAGACTGTTCGTATAGTCCGGGCCTTGCAATAAATTCTGATTTAGGGACGTATCTTCAAACTTTGCCGCTGCATCAAAAACGGTTTAGACGCCGAACTCTTCTCTGTGCCTGCTCTAGTTTCAACCTTGCTAATTCTGCTGAACGAGCCGCCGTCTTCACCCTAGACGACACAGAGGACCCCCTGAACGTCTACTCTTTGACGACCTTGACATGGAAACACTACTTTGTACTGACACAGAAAGTTTATCATCATCCTTAAGGTGAAGACCATTCTCAAACTTTGAGTCTCTCTGTAAACTGCGAATGCTCTTGTTAAGTTGACCAATAGCTAGTTGATTACATTCATTTATTTTTCGTTCGAGACTTTGACGTTGGATGCTAAGACGCTCCAAGTCACGCGTGTTATTAATCAGCTGAGAATAATCTTCATGTACCTTGAGGTACTTAACCCACCTTGAATGTATAGTGTCCAAAGTTTTTTCAATTTCTGTAGTCTCAATATTATTATAATCATAAGTTTTTAAAGACTCTGTAGATACTTCAATAATTTGCGAAAGTTTTAATAATTCATGCTTTAGTCCTTTGGAATGTATTTCATTTAAATATTCTGCGTACTCACGCGACACCTTCCGGGTCCGAGATGTCCTTCGTAAACCGTTGTCACTTCCGGCTTATTGACTTCGTCGATCGCGAAGTTCGTCGAACTGTTTTGCACAGATTTCATCCATAAAAGATCAAACTATGTTGGGAACGAACCCAACTGAATGTCGTTTATATATCAAATAATAATCACCACATCATTACACTTTATTTACTCTCAAATTTAGTTTATTCTAAGCAGTACATCATGACAAATATCTTTTACATATCAAATATCCATGCATCATTCTGTCCTCGATTCTGTCCGTATTTCGACTAATATCGGTCGTAAACAAAGGTTTGCTACATAGAATTACAAATAACGTTCATTAACAACAAGTTCAAGTGGTTCAAAGTCAAAATAAAAGAAATACTTACATCTTATGGCGATTTTAAAGCAGATTACGTTGTCAACAAACGGCGCGAAATGATTAGATTAATTATAGTAGCGTCCGTAACATGCATCAACTGCTGGGGTTGCTTGAAGAATTCGAGCGATGAAATCATCTAACTGTTCATCATATATATTAGAGAACTCTCTTCCCTCTACTGGCATACCGAACTGGTATAGCGTACTACTTTCTGATACACCAAGACTTCGAGCTATGTCACTCCAGCGCATACCACAATCACCGTGTAAATCCTGCAACTGTTAGTGGCTTGCGCGAAATCCTGGTCACCCACTCAAACCACTATTCTCAACTGAAATATTTACGTTTAACATTCCGTTTTCATCCATATCGTCTTGTAAAAGACATTTTCTTTCAAAGTGAGATCGAAGAGAAAGCGTACGATCCAAAATATACGATAAATCAAGCAAGTAGCTTCTCTGTGATTCAAGGTGTCCATAGGACTCTGGATGCTAGGCTATAACTGAAAGCGTTCTGGCATATTCGTCAAGTCTTCTTGTTAATTACCGATCACGAGATGCAGAATGCAACCGACCATCACAAATGTCAATTAGTCTTCCCAAAGATAAAAAAACTCGTTTATATTTGGCAACCAATGCGCCATTTTCCTTTCGATTTGATTTAGCATCATTTATAGCACATGTCAATTACTTCCGATTTTTAGTTTCCGGTTTCCATTGACCATTTTTTGCTTTGCACCTCCGTTTCCACTGGACAAGATTTTTTTGTATCAACCAATTTCCAATTTTCATCGAATTTTCTTTGCAGTTCGCACTTCCGCTTGTACGTACTCGACAAGATTTTTATTTCGAATGTTGTTTTTTTTTATTTCCTATCGAAGATTGAATAATGTTTTAATTACGCTTTTTTGTCCGCAATGGAACGCCATACCCGGAACGGCGCTTCGCACCGATGGCTCGCGTATAAAAATATTTGACCAAATTAAGCCCAGGAATCATCTTATTAAAGTCCCGTTTAAGGTATTTTTTAAATTTTCATGTGTAAGGACAATTCAAGTTGTATGTTGTTTTATTAAACGTATATTTTTCGAGAAATAACTGAACCTATATGAAGCATGTGAATTGAAACATGTAGCACTGGCCTGTGTTTTTTTATGTTTGTATTTGGGGTGGGGTTTTTTTTGCAGTTTGGTCGGAAAAAAGTACATTTCGCGCTTCGCACTAAGTCCATTGAAGTCCATTCACTATATTGTACTATCTTTAGTGTCGATAGGGCGCAATTTTCAAATTCTTGGGTGGTATTTTCAGTAGTTAAATTAAAAGTTGTCTTCACTCGTCGGATTGTCGCTAAAAATAACTCTTTTTGATATTCGTAAAAGGCTATCCCCTCCCGCATCCAATTAGATTGCAAGAAATAAAAATATCACTTGGCATGAACAAATAAAAAATAAATACATTTATTTTATTGAGAAGGTCAGCAGAAATATCCACCTGACCACCAATTATGGTTGTACTTCATGAGTGCTGAACATTGCATAGTTAAATTGGGTGTAGGCGTTACAGTGAAGGTCAACACTCATATGAAAACTAAGGAACTTATAGTTTTTTTATTAATATATCAATATCTCATTGCTTAAATAAGGTCAAAAAATAGCCCGGCTTTACCCTACTCAGCCTACTGGGTAATCCGCAGTGGCCCCAATAAGTACGTAAAAGTTAAAAAATCTTCTATATTCTTCCACTGTAGCCTATTAATTGTATTGTTTGCATACTAGGTCAGTTTGCGAGATTCGCAACTGCAAACTGGAACGTAGAATCACGACGCTTGAAAGTAATATCACAACACAACTGGAGGGTAGAATCGAGCAACTAGAAATTAGTACGACATCACAACTGGAACGTAGAATCGTACAACTTGAAAGTAGAACTACCCCACAACTGGCACGTAGAATCACGACGCTTGAAAGCAATACTACATCACAACTGTCACGTAGAATGACGACGCTTGAAAGTAAAACTACACCACGACTGGAACGTAGAATCACGACGCTTGAAAGTAGAACTACACCACAATTGGCACGTAGAATCACGACGCTTGAAAGTAATACTACACCACAACTGGCACGTAGAATCACGACGCTTGAAAGTAATACAACACCACGACTGGCGCGTAGAATCACGACGCTTGAAAGTAATACTACACCACAACTGGCACGTAGAATCACGACGCTTGAAAGTAATACTACACCACAACTGGCACGTAGAATCACGACGCTTGAAAGTAGAACTACACCACAATTGGCACGTAGAATCACGACGCTTGAAAGTAGAACTACACCACAACTGGCGCGTAGAATCACGACGCTTGAAAGTAGAACTACACCACAACTGGCACGTAGAATCACGACGCTTGAAAATAGTATACACCACAACTGGCACGTAGAATCACGACGCTTGAAAATAGTATACAACAACTGCAACGTAAAATTTGAGCAAATTCAAGGTAGTGTTGCAGATTTTCAAAACTTTTTCTTATTAAACTGCAGTGTTACGACGCTTGAAAATAGTATACAACAACTGCAACGTAAAATGGAGCAAATTCAAGGTAGTGTTGCAGATTTTCAAAACTTTTTCTTATTAAACTGCAGTGTTGTAAATTGTTCAATAATTACGCGCAGACGTATTATACCTGGTAAAATTCGCCTTTATTGGATGCCATCCTAGGTTAAATAGGCTCTATTAGTATAGGTAATAGCATGGTTTCGAATGCAATTTGGATATAACATGCACGAGTGAGTTTTTCAAAGACCTCTAAATAGCACGAGTCCGAAGGACGAGTGCTATTTGAGGTCTTTGAAAAACTCACGAGTGCATGTTTATCCAAATTTCATGAGAAACCATGCTATTACTTATTAATAACTTACATAAAAATCTTCGAGACAATTGTAGTTTTAACTTACGCGTTTATACCGAACATTCCACTGGCAAAGTTTTCCTGGCTTTGTTATATCACATTATACAACGCTAACAGCTTGAAAATTCCACTCAATTATGTAATTTTTGTTAGTCTTGTTTAAGGTAAATGCTTTTCCATTTTTTAATAAAGATAAAAGCCATATTTTCCACGCGAAGGCAACTTTTACTTTGTGTAGCTCGGCGCCATGTTTGTTTTGTGTTGTTTTGACTTTTAAAGCAATCTGCAGTGACCGTTACTTCTTTAAACTGAATTGCTTTAAACTGATTGGTTGATTTAATCATCACAATGCTTTTCCACCAATCAGATCAGTTTGTTACAGATTTTTGCACTGTGATTACAGAAAATTGCACTGCTGTTTGGGATTAACTGCACTGAAATCAACCAATCACAGTCGAGTAATATTAATGTTATCATGTTTGGTATGATTGAAAGTTTTTTCCCTAAGTGGCAGTTGAGAACAAGAAAATCAGATAAAGCATGGGTAACCCAATCGTTAAAATTGTTAATCAAGAGATGTCAGAGAGCCCTTCATTTGTATGGGAAAATTTCGCAGATTTATAAATATTGGCGAAATAAAGTTCAGCAAGAAGTTAAAACTGCTCGTAAAAGGTTTTACCACCAGTCGGTCAAGAAGTATAAACAAAATTAAGAAAAGTCTCTCAACAGTCTTGGCACCATCAGCTGCTGTCTGATGATAACCCTAATTGTGCGGACCTTGCTGAGTCTTATAACGATTTCTTAGTTGGTCTCACTGCTCACTTTGAACCCTTGGCTCGCTGTCATCAGATTGAAGTGCCAGATTATGTTATGGTAAATCCTGGACAAGTTTATTCAGCGCTGCGGCGTATTAAAACAACAAAATCACAGGGTCCTGACAGCATCCCAAACAAAGTATTGAAGACTTTTGCTTTCGAACTTGTGCCTGTATTGTCTGATATATATAATTCCTCAATGCTCCAGGGAACCTTTCCGGAAAAATTAAAGCGTTCCTTTGTTGTGCCTATTCCGAAAGTATCTCCCCCAAATCCCATTGAAGAAGATCTACGTCTTATCTCCCTCACTGCACAAGTTGCAAAAATAATGGAAGGATTTACTTTGGAATCGTTATTGCTAGAAGTTTTAGATAAGCTGGACCCGAAACAGTTCTCGTTGCCCAAGAACTCAACAACTCAAGCGTTGGTTTATCTTATGCATCAGATCCATGCCGGACTTGACAAAGGTCAATGTTCAGCCAGAGTGATCTTCGCAGATTTTAAAAAGGGATTTGATTTAGTTGATCACAATGTCATTATTACTGAGTTTGAAAGGCTTGGCGTCCATCCCGTTATCATACGCTGGATTAAATCATTCTTAACTGACCGAGAACAGTGTGTTAGGGTTGAAAACTGTAAATCTTCCTGGAAGAAAACTAATGGAGGTTTACCACAAGGAACCAAATTAGGACCATTACTATATTTGCAATTATGGTTAACTCTTTATTAAAAGATTGGCAAGGCAGGATTAAGTATGTTGATGATACTTCAGCACTTGAAATCATCCCTCGGTGCTCACCAAGCTTACTGCCCATCGTTGTCAATGAAATTTCTGATTTTGCTGTTTCACGTGGGATGAAGTTAAACCCAAAGAAATGCAAGGAAATGTTTGCATCATTCCTTAAATATGACTTGCATTGTATAGATTCCATATATATTTCTGGTACCCCGGTTGAAAGAGTTTGTTGTTACAAGTTATTAGGCGTTATCAACTCGCAAGATCTTACCTGGAACAGACAAGTGGATTATATTCTCAAGAAAGCCAATTTCCGCCTTTATGCTTTGAGACAATTAAAGAAAGCTGGTTTTAACTCAACAGGATCTTCTTAAAATTTATTGATTAGGTCTTTGATTAGGTCTTGTATTGAATATGCATCACCTGTGTGGTCGGACTTAACCCAAAATTTAACAAATTCAATCGAGTCTGTTCAAAAACGACCATTACGAATAATTCTACCCTCTCTTGCTTACGAAGATGCTTTGACGCGGTCCGGTCTAGAAACTTTAGCAAGTCGCCGATCAAATGCTTGCCAGATGTTTGTTGAGAAAATGAAGTCTGACGATCAACCAAATAACCCTTTTGCCAAAATTTTGAAGCATAACATTCATAATGAACGTAATCATAGTTATAATTTAAGACACGAGGGACTAAATAGAGTGAGGGCACGTACAGAACGTTTCTCTCAGTTTATTACATGCAAATATTATTGATGTTTCTTAGTCATTGTAGGTTTTCCTATTTAAACTTTTTTATTTAATCTTGTCAATAGATAACTTTATATTTGTAATATTTCTAAAAGCTCATTGTCATCTCTAGTTTAAGCGTGTAATTCAGTTTTGTAACTGCAAAGCGTTTTATTAAACTATTTATTATTATTATTATTAAAACAATATCTCACTCGTTCGCTGCGCTCACTTGTGAGATATTGTTTTTGCCACTCGAACATAAAATCCATATCTCTTCGCAACCGTCTAATATCCTCTATATATTCGCGTTAATTAAACCAATTTTAGAAGTACCTGAAAGCAATTCGCGTTAATTAGACGACACGTTTATTTATGTCGCGTTAATAAAGTGCATCGTTAATTTCCTATAATAAGATAATTTGACAGACAAAGGCCTCATCTTTATTGGTACGCAAAAAATAAGTGTCAATTTTTTTGTACACCCTATCAATAAAATTGTTATAGCAACAATTGCCATTTATCAATTTAGCGATTCCAACTTTTGGCCCAGTACATGATATAATCGAAAGAGGAATTAAATCGAAATGCAACTGGCAGCGTGAAAATTATTTCAAAACCACGATAGTTGTATATAATAGTTAGAATTTAAAGATAGCCGCATTAAATTTAAATGACGTATTAACCATGTTTGCATGAGACCAATTATAATATGCTGTAGTTATATTATTTGCGGAAACGGAAAAGAGGATAAAACACGGAATACAGGATAAAACGCGGAAAAACCTTTCTACTCTACGTTTAAGTCATGCATGTTATCTTTTTAGTTGGTTCAGTATCCCGTAGATGGTAAATGCCAGACTTGGTCCAAACTCTCTAAGACAATATAAATGAGGAGTTAAATATGGCACGATTTCTTACGACAGTTTAAAGTCGCCTTTTGCGGATTAAAATTATGGTTGCTTTCTTCTTATGTTGCACACATTCTTGTGGAAATAGAGTGACCAAAGACAAAAGATAATTTCAGCATTGCATTGCAAAGATCATGCTTAAAAATAGCACAGAAACCGCGAGGTGGCAGTTTGGCGCCAAAAGATAATAGGGAGTCATTCAGTGAGTAAATATTGCGAGACGGATGTTACGTAATTGGAGCGGTGCTGCAATCATTGCGAAAAGTAGAACCTGCATGATTCTACTTCTATGTAACTCTAGCCAAAGTTTTAAAAATGTAGTGTTAATAATTAATGTTTTAACTCAAAACACTTAAAATATACAAGATTCTTATTGCAGGTGAATGATCTGTTTATTATAATAATTTCCCTTTCGAGTCGTTTAATACAAAAAGAAAAACACGCAAGAAAGTCCAGAGTGCGACACAAAAATGAACACAAGTACACAACGGATGTTTATGAGTCTACAACGTATATTTATAGTTGTTTATTAAAGGAAAACTGTCAACCCTTTAACTTGCCCTTATTATTTGTATTCCACTATACTGTATATTGAGTAATTCCACGTACTATATTGTATATTAAAATTCGCTGGGTTCAAATGATGGGGTTTTAGAGTCGTTACACAAAGAAAAACACATTAATTCAACACGCAAGAAAGTCCGGAGTGCGACGCAATGTAAAATCCATAGGTCAACTCCGCCAAAAGCTACCATTTTGAAACTGGACTAATATGTCACCCTTGGAGTTTGGAATTGTGCGCGTGCGTACAAGTCTATATGTGGGCTAATAAACGAAAAATGTACCACAAGCATTGTATGAGCCAGCTATTACGTACATAAATACGAGCTTGTTACTATAATATATAAATCGTGGAATCGATGGCATTTTGGCTTAATCGCTGCACCCTGAGCCTGCGATGCGCGAACGCAAACTTCGATTTCTCGACGACGAAGAAAACAGAAAATTAGGGATTTAAGACGCTTGACCTTTCAGGTCAGTGTAACAAGACGCTCCACGGAGCGTTAAGTCGCTGGGGCGATGGAAATATGCAACTTTAAATACAAGTAATACCACTAATTAAAGAAGAACGTATTTGTTTTTCCGAAAATATTGATTCTTGAAGTTTGCAGTTTGCCTGGCAGTTAGCGCTAATAGTTAAAGGGAAGTGGCAATATATTTTTTTTTCTCATTTGAAAGAACTTTGAAACTATTTAATAACTTCTTTTACCTATTCTGCATATCTTGCTTAGTTCTTGAAATATTTTCACTTGAAATAATGACATGTCAGCCATCTTGGATAAATTTTTGATTCATTAACGGTAGTTTTGGTGACGTCACAACAGGGATTAACCATATAAAAGCATATGTTGCTGATCAAATATTGATTGGTAGATGTTTTAAAGGTCTCAAGTGATCTTGGTATTTGGAAGGGCAAAATTATTTTGAGTGCAAAATGATTGATTAGTGGTTGTCTAGATAAAAATATTGCGTGACCCCTGTTGTGACGCAACTTGCATATCTACAAAAATCCAAGATGGCGGACATTTCATTTCTTTCGATTAAAATATTTGTAGAAGTAAGCAAGATATGAAAAAACGGTAAAAGACGTTTATATATGGTTTTAAATGTTCTTTCAAACGAGAAAATAAAAAATATATTGCCATTTCCTTTTAAAACAAATACAAACATGTGCACAGTGGCGTAACCAGCCCGACGATTTGGTCCCGCTATGCAAATTTCAACTCATTATCATTATTAATTTCTTTAGACTAATTGATTGTGTTGATAGTTTATAAACATGGCAATATTTGCATAGCGGGACTGAATCGGTGGGCTGGCTACGCCAGAGTATATAGTATAGTGTACCGTATATGTTACAATTATAAGCGTTTAATTATCCTGTTGTCATTACACAGATCGCTGGTGTTATGTTACCAACTGGCCAAGTTAAAACCGAACTTTAATAGCGCTACTGCAACGAATTCTTGGACCCTAGTTTTTTTTAGTTTAAATAAAATTCAGTCTTTTAGAAGCATTTTCATATATATTTGACCATCACGCGATGCTTAGAAGTTGTCAAATTTAACCTCTGAAGTTGGTTATCGCGTTGCGAACTTTTCCGCCCCCATACATGTGACGTCATAAGATGAACGGAAACGACGATATAAAGGTCGTATTTGTAGTAAATTATATGACGCGTCAACACATTGAAGTGGATTTTTTGTCTATTGCACTTGTTTATGGCGCAGATAATTGATTTTTAAAAATCGAAGAACATTGTCTATCACATCTTATTGTTTATTTAACGGCGGAATGACGGTTAGAGACTCAAATAATAGGGTCAGTACTGCATCTGGAAGTCGACGAGTATGGACTCGGCTAATTCGGCTTTGAAATACGATGATGAACCAGTTGCCTAACAGCTTTTATACAGCTTCACTAGACGAAGTGATAGAGACATTAACGCCGCTGCAGATAGGCAACTACCATCCGTGACTGTGTTGGAGCAATTAAGCGATGGTACAATACCTGTAAAATTAGTGGTAAGTAGATCCTTTTTTCTGCATGTATATTTATATTGCATTGTGCTCGCCTCGGTATATTGTGTCTAATTGTTTGAATACATCTGGTGTGTGTAACCACGGTTAACTTAATATTTATTATAAACTGGATTGTGAGTGACAAAAAATATAATAACGTTTAATGAGGTTATGCAATAACCAAGGTTAGCAACTTGGTAACCAGGTATCCTGACGTCAGCAAGCCACATGACCAGGGGGGGATGGCGCAATGGGAGTAGGTGACATCTATCATTCCAAGTCTGACGTCCAAACGACAAACACAAGTATATTCATATAGCCTATTCGCAATACTCAAAATGATTTTGCTTTTGTTTTTGTTTTTAATAGATAGCGATAGGTGTAGTTGGCAATTGTAGGATTTGGTTCTATTGATGGCTACTTTTACTTGGATGGGAAAACAGAAGAAAATAATTTCCAACAACAAAGACACACCGGACAGCTGCCTTACGTTTGAGCAGAAAAGCGGTCGACTTTAGTTGGATTAGGCAGACTGTGACTGAGTCAGTTAACCATTGAGTCAAAATTGTGCCACTGTGCAATATCACATTTACTGTAATATTTTGAAATTATATTAATCTTCAAAGTAACCAGTTAAGTTGCATTCCTCATGTTTTGTGCACAAATATATTTCCCACACAAAGGCGTACCAGTACAATATTATATTATTGTATTATTATATTTATTGTTTATACTTTATACTATGCAATATGTATTATTGATATGACTGAATATAACTCCAGTACAGTGGCATCGTTTCTCTCAAAATGTCATCAGAAGTCTTGACGAAACTAGGTCAAGGCATGCTGAATTGTTGTCTTTATTTAAATCTCAAGATGCTCTGGACAAGAAACTAACTTAACAGGAGATAATCTTTTTACAACCACAAATGATCTAAAACATAAGAAATGTTAAACACTTTGGACTAACTATATAGCATCATTTGCGCAAAATATTCACCATGTGTGCGAACATATTAATTTTTACTTCACCATACCTGAATTATTTGCCTTGCGTCTGTTAATTGTACTTTAGCCAGGGGAACAATTCTAGCCATGTAAATTATACAAACAGTTTCTTCCTTCAGTATTCTTTCCATATTACGAGGTTTTGTCAATGAAAATAAAATATAGCACGAATCTTCAAAACGGGCGCAATCAAAACACTAGGTTTCGCAGATGCGTGAAAACCCGGTCAATGTTTACGGATAAAATTCACTGACTTTCTTTCACTCTGTGGATCTGTTTCTTTGTTGGGTAATAGATACATGGGTATTCCTTCAGGCTGTTCAGAATTCGTGCAATAATCTAAGTTAGAACTGCCAGAAACACGGCCTTCGTCTCCGCGTTTGTTGGTTTTACTATAATTTTAATACACCACGATGAAATCGTGTTCATCTTATGACGTCACATGGCATCAACATGGCCGGTCAAAAGTTCGCACAGGAAGTGCCAAAAATGGCCACTTTGGAAGGCTATAAAATCGGTTTGAATTTACCAATTTCAATTCTGTTTGTGGTAAACAGGTCAGGAGGGAAAGCACTTTTAATTAAGCTCCAAAAATGAGGGTCGCAAAATTCGTTGCAGTGGCACTTTAATTAATAGCTAGCTAGTTAGTGCATCGAAGGCTGGAAGGCAAGAATACTCTTCGCCTCGAAACTAGATACATTATGACGTCTGTCTATTGCCTAAAGCCTGGCGCACACGATGCGATTTTAGTCGGCCAATAAAAATCGTTTGACATACCGATATACATCGGCATACTCCGCACACGATTACGAAAAAAATACGCTCCCTGAACTGTAGCCGCCATGTTGCCAAATAACACAAGCACGTGATCACAGCATGAAATCTTATTGGTTATACTTAAAATTCCACCGATAAAATCGTATAATATCAAAACGTTTTGACGTTGTCCGATTAAAATCGAGCAACAAAAATCGGTTAAAAATGACACCGCACACACAACGATTTTGTTAGTTTTAGTCAAACGATTTTTATCGGCCGACTAAAATCGCATCGTGTGCGCCAGGCTTAATACATTTTTGTAATTAATACGTCAATCAGTGATGACGTGTCAATTGTGACTCGGGTTGGCTCTGTTATAATTTGCTCTAGCTGATAGATGTCCATGATATCTATGAGTCGTTTACTCTGGAAAAAATGTCCATAGTAAACGACTCATAGATATCATGGACATCTATCAGCTAGAGCAAATTATAACAGAGCCAACCCGAGTCACAATTGACACGTCATCACTGATTGACGTATTTATTACAAATACCCCTCAAAGAGTAAAATCCAGTGGAGTGATTCGTCTTGGCATTAGTGACCACTACATGATTTATGTGTGTACCAAAGACGCAATCAGTAGATCGCCTCCTAAAGTTGTTGAGACCAGATCTTTTAAAAACTACAACAAATTTGTATTCAGAAGGGATCTGTTCTATACACTAAATTGTCTAATATAGAAGCTGAACTAGACCCAAACAAAATGTGGGAAAAATGGAGAAATGTGTTTACTACTACCGCAGACAAACATGTTCCATTAATAACGCGTAAAGTTAGAAGTCAACACACTCCATGGCTGACTAGTGAAATTAAGAAACTGATGAATCATCGAGACTATTTAAAACATAAAGCAACCCGCACTAAATCTCGGTATTTCTATGAAGCCTATAAAATTGCTCGAAATAAAACCAACAAAATAGTAGAGAAAGCTAAATCAAGGCATTTCCTACATACCATAAACAACAATAGCAACAAGCCAAAGCAACTATGGAAAAGTGTCAACCTCATTCGAGGTAAAGGATCAAAAACAACTAATGTATCCAGTCTGAAAATAGACGAAGAAACTATAACAGGTGACAAGAACATTGCTGAAGCTTTTAACTCTTTTTTCGTCCGTGTGGGTCCATCGCTTTCGCAAAGTTTACCAGAGTCTCAAAAAAGCTATTCTGATTATGTTCAACATCCCACACATAATACCTTTTCCTTTAGTGAGGTTAGTGAAAATGACACTCTAAAGTTGCTATGTGGTTTGAAAGAATCAAAGGCGGCTGGTCCAGATAAAATAAATACTAAACTAGTCAAGGATTCTGCTGAAGTAATCTGTCCTACATTGACAAAAATTTTCAACAGATCCTTGCAACAAGGTATCTCCCCAGAGGAACTTAAAACCGCTTTTGTCTCCCCCATTTACAAAAACGGTGACAAATCTGACTGTAGCAATTATAGGCCTATTTCGATTTTGTCGACTATTGCAAAAATATTAGAAAAAACTGTCTACAATCAGCTAATTTCGTATATAAATGAGAATAACATTCTAATAATAATCAATTTGGATTTCGAAAATCTCATTCAACTGTAACGTCGTTGTTAAATGCTACAAGTAATTGGCTTCTTCTGGTAATCAATTTGGATTTCGAAAATCTCATTCAACTGTAACGTCGTTGTTAAATGCTACAAGTAATTGGCTTCTAAATATTGATAAAGGCCTTATAAATGGAGTCTTGTTCCTAGACCTACGGAAAGCATTTGACACTGTTGATCATGTAATCCTAATTGAAAAGCTAAAACTGTATGGAATTACAGGGGGTGCCTTGAAGTGGTTTATATCATACTTAGAAAAAAGATATCAAACATGTAAAATGAATAACGTTAAATCATCCAGAAAATTAATTAAATGTGGTGTTCCCCAGGGGTCTAATTTAGGACCCCTCCTATTCTTATTATATGTCAATGACCTGCCAAATTGTCTTGATCAGGCAAAACCTTCGATGTTTGCTGATGATACTAATATCTCCGTATCTGCGGAATCCGTAGACGAATTGGAGGAAAAATTGAACACCGATCTTAGTAATATTTATCAATGGTTAGTGGCAAACAAATTAACACTTAACGTTTCTAAAACAGAATATATGATTATTGGCTCTCGAAATAATCTAAGTAAGATTAATGTGGATCCGACAATTAAAATTGGTGGCGATTCTATTAATAGAGTTAAAACAACAAAAAGTCTTGGCGTGGTCATTCACGATAAGTTGAGATGGGAGGACCACATTGACAGCATCAGTAAAAAAGTTTCAAGCGGAATAGGAGCGATAAAATTGATCAAGCCTTATGTTCCAAAGGATTGCCTAAATCAGATTTATAATGCTCTTGTGCAGCCATATTTTGACTATTGCTCTCTAGTATGGCAAAATTGTAAACTAGAGTTGCAATTGAAACTTCAAAAACTTCAAAATAGGGCAGCAAGAGTTATAACTGGAGATAACTGGGAGGTTCGTTCAAAAGATGTTCTTAGCAAACTGAATTGGCAACCACTAAACCAGATAAGATTGGTTAAGACGCTCTTGTTTATGCGCAAAATTCTAAAAAAGGAAGTTCCTACATCAATATCAGAAGTCAGACCAGTTTCACATTTCGGTAACCGATCAATACAATCTACGTAGTAATTTTACTATGTTGAAACTGGCAACAGTTTCACATTTCGGTAAACGATCAATACAATCTACGTAGTAATTTTACTATGTTGAAACTGGCAAAACCAAGAACAAATGCACTGAAGCGTAATTTTAGCTACCATGGTGCAAAAACTTGGAATAATTTGCCAACTGAATTGAAAAATCTCACGATCTCTGAGAGAGTTTTCAAAAATAAATTACAAGATTTCATTCGCGAAAATAATTCATTTTTGAACAATTTTTCAAGTTGCCAGTGACTGCTATAAAACATTTTTTCAATAAACTGTTACTTAGAGTGTATGTTTTTGTGGGTTTTTATGGAGTATTATAAATGTAATAATGTCCTGTTTATGCATGATATTTACTATAATTTAGTGCAATTGTTGTTCTACTGTTTAGCTTAAATTTCTACACGGCCTTATGAAAAGCAACCATTTTAATTATTTGAAACTTTGTTACTATCAGAAAACTCTATATATTTTTAGTAGAAATAGGTTGATAAGCTACCGTGTATAAAGAATTTTAAATAATAATAATAATAATAATTAATGCCGCGTGAGAGGAGAGGTATTTCGCATGATTACTGAGCGACTAGCTAATGACATGTGCCTACAACCAATAGCAATAACGCTTTAGTAGTTTAGTCATATCTACTAATCTACATACCAGTGTGCAGTATAAATGCGGCGAACTCACTGCATGGAATAATAATATATGTTATGAGACAGGATTCGAGATTGTGCTTTGTTTTGTCTCGGAGTATTGACCACATACATGTGTGTGATGTGTAGGTTATTTTGATTCGTGACTCATCACTGCAAATCAAATATAAAAATGCGGTTTGACGCTTTATAGTGTAAACACAAAATGTGAAAGTGCGCTGACTAATACTCGGGAAATCGCGATGATTTCCGACGATGTCCGATTTCGATACGAGTGTAACCGGAACGCGTTCCGCACATGCGTTCCGCAATTGCAAATGGACGCAAATGCATGGAACGCATTTAGGAACGCGTTCCGAACGCGTTTTCTGTTAGGTTATTTTTGAGCAGTACGGCATTTCACAGTTTGCATTCTTCACTCCCTACACTGGCATGCAACCACCATTTGAAATTATAAAACAAAAGTACTGCCTGCGTATGTTATTTATTTAACGGTTTAGGTCGGCGCATGCACGCGAAATAAGTATTTCCATAGGTCTCAAAAAATGGACCAACATAAAAATCAATAAATAACGTTTTAAATAATGTCGCTAATGCTATTTTGTAGATGAAGTCAATCATGTTTTGAAAATCAGATTAAACGGGACAAATGATAAGCAAGGACGAGTAGAAGTATACAAACCATCATACGGTTGGGGTACAGTATGTGATGATGCCTGGGATATTAAGGACGGTCACGTAGTGTGTCGTCAATTGGGCTTTTCCAGGGCTAACGCGGTGTACCAGAGTGCCCATTATGGCGCAGGAACAGGTCCAATATTGCTCGATGACTTGGCATGTACTGGAAATGAATTTCATCTATGGAATTGTCCTCATGCAGGATGGAATGTGGAGAACTGTAGCCATGGTGAAGACGCAAGTGTGGATTGTCAGTAATGCATGAATGATGCTAATTTCTCAACAATTTTGTAACCGCTTATATATAACATATGTGACATTATTAATATAATCAACTACTGCTCAGAAAAACTGTTTTGTAGAAAATTTTATACTCCAAGAACAATTAGATATACTTCAAAAGTATGCAAACCATGCTGTATTTGTAATGATCATGATGATAATGTATCGTATCGTAAAAAATTATTTCAAGACGCTAGCTTCATCAACATAAATTGGTTTTCATGAGAGGCGTCGTCAATTTATATACAAAGTATTAATATTTACAAGAGAATAAGTAGAAACAAAGAGAAACTATTTACGAAAATGCATGCTGAATACAGGTGTGACCCATCCAATTGGTAACAGAGTCAGAGATTAATATTTTGTTTGAAAATATGGATTGATTGTGCTTCTTTTGTTTCCCGAGAAATGCTATTCCAAAGCTTTGCCCAGCTGTATTTAAAACTTTTTTTAGGAATTCCCTTCTCGGTTTTGGGAGAACTAAATCAGTATAGCTATTTGTTAAATTATAATTCGCTTGCGTTAAACTACTCCAAGTCAGTGACTCTTTCAAGTTAGGAGCAGTATAATCGTTTAGAATTTTATACAGAAGAATGGACTTCATCTTCTGTCTTCTACCTTTCAAAGTTTCTCAACCAAGAGTTTTAAGAACGACAGCAGATTCAATTTCGTAACTTGCGCCAGCAATTATTCTTGCCGCACGATTTTGAAATTTCTGAAGTTTATCAAGAAGTTGTATGCCGCAAATGTCCCACAGTGGAGAACAGTAATCAAAATAAAGTTGAATCAAGGCATTGTGAATCATTTGGAGTGAGTTTACTGGAATGAAATTTTTAGCCCTTGGCAACATTGCAATGCCAGATCGAACTCTTTTCAATACCTTTTCGATCTGTTTATCCCATTTAAGGTTTTCGTCGAGTAACACGCCCAGACATTCGAAAGAGCTAGTTCTACAAAGAGGTTTGTTGTTAAAGAACACAGGATAGTCGTGAACTTTATTGGTTAGATTATATGACGATCCTATGATCATGTACTTAGTTTTAGTAGGGTGGTGCTGTAGTTTGTTACTGGCGAGCCAATCACTGATTTGTTTTAGGTCAGAATTTAATTTATCAATCAGCTCATTATAATCGTTAGAAGAAGAAAATATTTGGGTATCGTCCGCGTATAAACAAGGTGTAGTTTTTTTTAGTTTACCGGTAGGTCGTTAATATAAATTAGAAATAGCAAAGGCCCTAAAAGCGAACCCTGAGGGATACGTAAGGTGAGATTTAAACCAATTCAATTCATTATTGGAGATACCAAACTGTGTTTCCAATTTGTTAAGCAATATTTCGTGATTTATCGAATCAAAGGCCTTACAGATATCTAAGAATACAACTCCGTTCAATGGACCATTTGCATTATAGACTAAATTTTGATCTAGACAAAAATTT